AAATCTGAAAAGCCCTTTAATATCATGTTACGCAGACAAGCACATAAGTGAAAACATGAAATATATCTGCAACAAAAGTAATTCCAGGAACAATTCAATAGATTAAAAGTTGATGAAAAACAACATCAACCATAAAGCCACTATCACCCAGTTCGGGAACTGCCTCTACATCATCGTCCACTACTACTGCCACGGGCACTCTAACTTTCAATCCATTGAAACCCTTCATGTGGCGGCCACGGTCTGATTCTTTCTCCTTAATCTTCCTTAACTTTCTTTGTAGCTGTGAGGACACCAAATCTATACTCCCACATGTTGTCTCAGCATCTTCCTCTGCACGAACCACTCGACAAATACCCATCAGAAAAAGGATTAAGACAAAGGTCAACGCAAACTTGGTCTCAAGCGACGAATGTTTCGAATTTAGGAAGCACCTCTCATCTTCGAATCCTTGGGCCTTTCCCCAATTCTCCACCTCGAACAGACAACCTGACATCAACTTCCCTCACAAGATGGTTATGCTTCCGAACTGCCTTACCAACCTTCTCCTCAACATGCTGCTTCACTGTATCTGTTAACTGTATCACATAAAAAGAGAGCTTATAGCAACAAATAAAAGAATGGATATTAATTATTTAGCCAAGAATGGTTCAATCTAGTTTGGCCGTTGACAGAGTACAAAGAAGGAAGAAAGGAAAGTAAAGGTAGATCAAAGTCCAAGTTTTTTCTGTTTGAAGTCCAACAAAACAAAATCTTCTCTAAACTTTCCCTCTATTCACTCAGTAATTACAGGACAATTTTGGTCTGGGTATTGTAAAGATCTTTAAAATCAACAACAGAAGGTATCACAAACAAAAACAAATTTGGAGTGGGCATTATAAAATCACCAATCAAAAGCAGATGGTATAATAAGCAAAAGCAAATATATGCCAAACTAAGTGCCCCATTATGATGTAGTTGATTTTTCACATGCTTCAAATAAAAAGTAATTGGCTTCCAATATGTATCACCAGTAGAACAATAAAGGGTTACAACTTACAACTTAAAATAGTAAAAAAAGTCGCTATTTGAGTAAGAAAGCATCAATCTTGACAACTTTTTTTTTTTTCAAATAGGGTAGATGATAACTAAGAAATAAATTACTTCAAGATTTTTTCCTTGGATGATTAATTTGACAGAAGAAAGAGGACCGTCTCATGAAATTCGAACCTTTAATGATTTGGTCCTGCTCTTTCTTGATTCCGACTCAATGTACTTGAAACTATTCCCAATTGAGTTAAGAAACTGGATTTGTAAGAAGATAATGAAGGCAATTGAGCTAGCTTTGCGGGAGTGAACAGAGTAACTGATGAAGCGGAAGAAGAGGGACATGAAGATGATGTATTTTATAAAATTTTAACATCTATATAAAAATTAAAAATATATATAATTTAATTTAATTTTTTATATTTTATATTTTAATTAAATTTAATATATATTTAATATTTAAATTTAATTTCGAAATAAATAAAAATTTAATTCGAATTAAACTAAATACAATTATTTTGATTTTTGAATTTTTTTCTCATTCTCGACGGATAAGGACACGTGAAATGTCAGAGCTGGACACATGAATCTTTACATTGGACATAAAATCAAGATGCACGTGGCAAAGGGTAATATGATTGAGACCTATTTATTTAATTCGACGTGGCACTCTGTCTAATTGTTGGTCCCTCACCTCAACATAGAATTAGAATTACCCCTTTTCCTTTTGTTTAATAATTTGGGGTTGGGTGGAGTTGATTAAGACGTGATTTTCAGAACAGATTACTCTACTGGCAAAAATTTAAAAAAAAAAAAAAAAACAGCCATCAATCATCATCGGTTATCAACAATAATTGTTTGGCATTCTTCATCATTTGATATTACTTTATTTTTTTGATAATATTTTATTTAAAAAATATGTTATTAAAAAAGTAAAAAATATGTTATAAAGCATTCCTATGCAATCTCTTAATTTTAACATAAGAATCTAATGGTGAATTTTGTTTTTTTTATAAATTTAAATAAATGAAATTTTATATCAAAATTAATACTTGCAAAATGTTATTAATTAATGAGTAAAAATAATAATTTTTTTATTAACTTTTGTAAATCATATGTGATAAATACATGTTATTTTTTATTTATATATCTCTTAAAAAATAATTGCAAAAGTTTTTTTTTATAATAATTTATAATTCAGCTAAAATTTTCTTGTCAGGTATGAATTCTTTTGTCATACCCACGTTGTCCAAATTAATCTTTAAACTTCATTTGAAAATTAAAAAAAAAAAATTGAAATCTCCTTCCCAATATTACAAAATAACAAGTAATTTTATTTTATTTTTACAGTTGAATGCCTTAACATTTAATGTGAGAAAGAATACTCTTATCTTTAAAAATCATCAAATTAAGTAATGAAACTCTATCTTGAAAGACAATACGAGGTCCAAACCAAGTTTTGCCAAGTCACCATCAAACTTGCACTAACAATAATAATAATAATAATTAAAATAAAAAATTATTAATTAAAATAGATCAAACAAACAAACAGCCGACAAATCAACTTATAAAAAAAAAATCCAATATAAAATTATCAAATTCACACACACAAAAGAGCGATACTTCAACTTAGAGAGTTCAAAATTTCAATACCCTTCCATCTAACTTTTACTTACTTCAAAATTTTAGAATGAGTATAATTTTCCTTAATAGAATTGCAATTTAATCCCCTTTTTTTTTTAAACAAAAAAAAAAAAAAACCCTTTTCATCTTTCGACGAGAAAGAAGATTAAAATATCTTAAAAGCAAAATATGTGGCAATAAACAAATTTTATAATCAATAATTATGTAATTTATTGTTACAGTATTAAAATTTTAATTAAATAATTAAAGTGTAATTTTTCTTTACTTTAATTATACAAAATTATAAAATTAAAAAACTAATAATACTCTTCCATAAATACATTACTATTATTATTATTATTATTAAATTAAAAGATCAATTTAAAATTTAACGTTTGAATTTTTTTTAATAAAAATATTATTTTTAATTTGATTCAATATAAAATTAAATATTTTTGGATTAGTTCAATATAAGATTTTGTAATAGTAGTGAGATGTATGCACCTTTTGATCGAGTAAAAGTTGAAAAAAAAAAAAAGATAAATCATATTTTTTACTTTCAATTAAAATAAAAAAAATCTATTTTTTGGTGTTCAACTAAAAAAAGAATAAAATTAATTTATTATGGAACATAAAATTTCGTCAAGAAAAGAAAAAAAAATCAATCCATCAATTTAAACGAATAAAACATTAATTACATTGACAACCCAAGAAACCCAGCAACATTTAAAAAAAAAAAGGAGAAATAAAAACCAAAAAATTTTTTTTGGGTGTCAAATTAAACCTCAGTTTCAAGGATGAGTTTACACAGAGAGGGTTTTTAGTAACTGATTCCATCGAGTCAAGAAACAACCTTGTTAATTGACGCAAACGGCACCGAAGTATTGATGTCAGCTTTGACACCACTGTTCAAAAGACCCATTTTGATGGTTGAATCACCAAATTCATAGCTTTCCACCTCCATCCTAAAAAATCAAAGCCCAGAGCAACTCAAATAAAGAAACAACTAAAAAACTTTAAATTGGTTTGGACTTTTTGTAGTTGTCTGAAACTTTGAAAGACAATCAACGCAACCGGCAAGGTATAGCAATGGAAACACACATCATGGCGGGCGGAAAAAAGGACAAGAAGAAATTTCTGGAAATGTACTTGATATTTGGAGAAACTTGATGGAGTTTGAGTAAAGTTGAGGTGAAAAAAAAAAAACATTTTCAGCATCTAAACACCTACAAATTCACCAAAAAATTAAAGTTAAAAAAATTAAAAAATACCAGTCGAACTTAATTTATTATTGTTCTTTATTTACCGTACTTTCTCGACATCCAAAGACAAAATAAAGAAGAAATCTGCCTAAGGACTAAAGAGAACGGGTAAAACAACAAAGTGAGTATTTTTATAAGAAGGAGCCTAAAAGAAAAGAAGATTTTGATCCACTGTCACTATTTTCTTTGTACCTTTCTTTTTTTATTCTCTCTCCCAATCAAAAAAGAAAAAAAATATTATTTAACAGAGAAGGTTGAGAAATAGGAAGAAAAGTTTTTTCTTTTGGGTGGAATTAGAGAGAGAAAGAAAGAGATTATAACATTTTTATTGATAAAAATAAAATTTTAATGGTATTATTATAGTTAACAGTACATGCCATGCATTGTCCTTATAAAATCTTGTTTTGAGTTAAGCCGAAAATCTTTAATTTTTAATTGAATTAAATTAAAAATAATATTTTTAATTAAAAAAAAAACTCAAATGTTAAATGTTAAAATAAGCATTTAGCCTTATTATTATAAATAAATTTAAAATGTGTGAATGGAAGGAATATGCATTGAGGAGCATCACATTCGACGGTGAAAATCGTTCCTGAAATTACTCCCACCCTCTCTCCAAACGAAGGAATGTGGAATATATGTGATTTTGTTCCTCGAAAATATACTCTTTAAAGTATCACTCGCAGCTGTAGTACTAGAACCAGCGCATTTTCAAAACAAGTAGGGCATTCAAAGTGACATAAAGAATTGGCACGCGCTGGGATTCTGGGAAAACAAAATGGCGAACCACGTGCCACTCTCATTCAATAGGAAAGCGAGTGTCATCCACTGGCCAAAAACACAACGCGTAGAGACAAAAATGAACCGACATAAAAAAGAGAGCGGTTTTTGACAACTTCAAAACCACAAAACGAAGTGTTCACTTGTAATGCCCCCACGTGTCGGTTTCCTGTCCAGGAAATCCACTGTCACGAAAATATCTTTCAAGTGCCCGGGCCCCACACAAAAATATCCCAATCTAAAGAACGCCGATGCCGAAGGCCTTGTTGACCCTTTAGTTTCCTTTTTTTTTTTTTTAATTAATTTTGGCAAACGTTAAACGACAGCCCCAAAATCCAATGACTCTGAACTTTGACGTCCTTCCTTCCAGATAGCTGACGTGACTTACGTGGGCCATACAATGCAGACTTAAAAGATATTTTCCTTGATCTTAGGTTAGATATTTATCACCGTTAGATTAGAGTCTGTTTCCAACTTAATTCATTTTGTTGCCGTCCGATTAAGGGGACTTTCGTTTACGATATATTTTTTTTATAAAAATATCAGGTAGTAGATCGATGTAGATTTTAGCAGAAGAGAGATAGCCTTTCGATTTCTCTGCTTTGCTTTGCTTTCCTTTCGTCGCTGAGTTCAGAGTAAAAAAAATAAAAATTAATACACTAATACTTGGTGGTAATAGGTTTTAGTTGGTGAAGAAAAAAAGCATGGGTAAGGTTGTGGTGAGTAGCGAGGAAGTGGAGGAGGTGAAAACTGAGAGTGAAAGTGAGAACGAAAATGGGGAGTTCCATGGGAATAAGGGGAGGAAGAAGAATAAGCCAGGGAGTTCTGCCTCTGGGGAAGTGGTGAAATGGGAAAGGTTTTTGCCCAGGATGTCTTTGAGGGTTTTGTTGGTCGAAGCTGATGATTCAACCAGGCAGATTATAGCTGCTCTTCTCAGGAAATGCAGTTACAGAGGTTAGTTTCCTTTCTTCTTCTTCTTCTTCTTTGACTGGTAATGCTTTTATCATTTTTTTGTTCTTGAATTACTACTGATTTATCTTTTCAAAGTACGGAAAGGGTTTTATTTGAAGCATTTTTATCAGGGAAAATGCCCTTTAATTTTTTTTCAATTGCTTCAGCCGTCATGGGTACTTATTTGCTCCCTTTTGAGAATCGTCTCTGTTTCAGGACCTACTTGCTCAAGTTTTTAATATGTAAACACTGGCCTTTCCATCAGTGGTAATGTGAATTTGATCCATTAATACAGCTGGTTTTCGATTTCAACGTAGTGAATTTGAGCTAGCATAAAAAATCTTTCTTTTCCCCTGTTTTCAGTTGCTTCGGCGTAAATGGACACTCTAAACTTTAGAGAGATAGTATGATAAGAAGGAAGGAAAATGGAAAGGAAAATTGTAAGTGACCTTTCTGTTTGTTACCAAGGATGGAAAATATAAAGAGAGAAAGAGTTTAGGGATAAAATTGTAAATAAAATTATTAATTTAAGTTAAATGATTATTTTCTTCCATATTTGGAAGGATTGGATTTGGAGAGAAAGAAAAGGTGCAAATCCAGATTGAATTGAATTAAGTCCACTCAAGGATACCTACTTCATATGCAAGATTCTCTATTTAACATTTCGGCAACATAACATGGTTAGAGATGGTGGTTCAAGCTGTTATTTTTACTTTTTCCAATCCTGGAAAATGGCATTTTGATTCTTGCTTCAAATAAGTTGTTTAGAATAATGATATGCTGCATTTGGAACTGAAAATGGTTTTTTTTCCCCTTTTTGAGCAGTTTCTGCTGTTCCTGATGGCTTGGAGGCATGGGAGATGCTGAAAGGAAAACCCCAAAACATAGATCTCATTTTGACAGAAGTAGATTTGCCATCCATATCAGGATTCGCTCTTCTTACACTAATCATGGAGCATGAGATTTGTAAAAGCATTCCTGTTATAAGTACGAGAAAGAGACTGTAATATTCTTTAGACATTTGTACACTTGCTAGGGTTGTGGTTGTCTACTATGGGTCTATAACAAAGCAATTTAAATAAATTTTCTTGATGCTGTAATATTCTTTAGACATTTGTACAATTGCTAGGGCTGTGGTTGTCTACTATGGGTCTATAACAAAGCAATTTAAGTAAATTTTCTTTTTCTTTGGGTGTGATTGTGCAGTGATGTCCTCACAAGATTCAATTAGCACAGTATACAAATGCATGTTGAGAGGGGCTGTCGACTACCTGGTTAAGCCAATAAGGAGAAATGAGCTGAGAAATTTATGGCAGCATGTATGGAGAAGACAATCAGTATGCTTACTTCTTACACTTTATTTCCCTCTCTTTTTTGCAGTTCCTTTGAAGTTGTAGTTTGCATTTTTATTCTGTACCTGATTTATATCTGTTGTTCAAATCAGTCAACGGTTAGTGGAAACTCCCCCCAGGATGAGAGTGTTGCACAGAAAAAGGTTGAAGCTACCTCTGAAAATAATGCTGCAAGTAATAATCCCAGTGGTTTCTTGGTTGGTGTCCAAAGAAATAAGGAACGAACTGAGAAAGGGAGTGATGCTCAGGTCAGTGCTCTTCATCCTCATATGAGCTTTGTTTTGTGATTGATCAGCGCATTTCCTATGCAGAGTATTTGCCTTGCTGTTTACTGTTTTTGTGTTTGGACTGATTAACCTTATCTGAAATTACTAATTTGATGTGAATATTGAAAACTCTTTTGTCATCTTCATTACTGATTATTAATAGGAGCAAAGAGTAGCATGCAAACCCTGGAAGCTATTAAACTTTGAATTTTGTAACCTAAATCTGCCACAAACATTTTAACAAATACTGCTGATCGTGGAAGACGCTTGGGATGAATGTAGATGCTCTACAATAAAATGCCTTGCTATATTCAGCTTACGTTCATCTAATCTTTACTTCTAAGAATATTAACAAGCTTGTTTTGAATGTTGGGCAAATTTGTCATATTTCATTGTCATTTAACTTGTTGACAACCCTATAGCTAATTTAGATTTCTCATGGAGTAGCCAAAAATGGTTCTCGTTACACTTGACGAAGCCTCGGTCATGTATGTATTGATGAGGTCACTCATGGTCAAAAGGAATTTTCTTTCAGTTTAAGTTGGCTTTATGAAGTTTGATATAGACTGCATGTTAGAGATTTTCAAAAATAAAATATAGGATTATTGGAAAAACAAATGATAAGACAATTATTTAAATTAAGAGGAATAAAAGTTCTATGTAGTTGGAGTTAAGCGGCTAATGGACCATGGGCTTGGTTTTTCAAGTTTGGTTGGTTTTGCATTAATTAAATAATTAATATATACTAATATTTAATTAATGGTACTTGACATTTGCAATGCAGTAAATAAAATATTATTTTATTTTAATTCAAAGTTCAATTAAGTGTCTGATTAATTAAGTTTGTCCAAAAATAGATAGACAGATGATTTTGTACAAAAACAGACAGACAAGTTTGTTCAAATCAACAGTTATTCAAAATCAGATAGTTTTTGTTTATTTAAAATAGACAGTTATATCTTATAAAGGGACGCTTAATTGTTTATATAAACTCTGATTTTATGAAAAATACAAAAACACCACTCAGAACTCTCCCTCTTTTTCATTAAATTTGAGATTTCCTTTTATAAAGTTTTGCTGCAGAAAACTTTATAAAAAGTTCGGTGATCTTGTAATACACTAGTGAATCCTTGGTGGACTGATTTCATTAGTGCAAAATATAGTCAATCGCCGGGTTTCATTGTATCCTTGAGATTTATTGTTTGCAACCCTTTTGCACACCTACTAATTAAATAATACGGAGTGGACAATAAAACTTTAAGGAAAGTGACACTGTTATACATCTTGGAGCCTTTTCTCAAAATTTCAGATTTACTAGAATCAGAAATTTCAGATTTTCAGTTTTTTGTACTAACACAGCATGTTTGTTGTCTCTTGCAGAGCTCTTGTACAAAGCCAGACATGGAAGCTGAGAGTGCCCACATGGAAAATATGCAGGAATTTTCACACTTGATAAAGGGAAAATCTCTACCAAGTGAATTGCAGAAGCACAAAACTCATGCCAATTTCAATAAGAAACTACTCATGCATGAGATGGCAACTGGGGGTGAGACACTAAATTTTGAATTTTGGCATTGTGTTTTCAGTTCAGTAGGAGAGCATCTAACCTTCTCTCAATGTCTCAATCAAATTTGTAAGCAGTCTTCGATGCATCCAAGGATGCCTACACAACAGCTGCGTGCATGGGTGTTGAACAGGAAAGCCAGATGAGGGATACTAATATCCCAGTTGAGGCTGGTGATGTTCTTGTTGATTCACTAAGGGAGGCTATTGACTTCATGGGAACATTTAATAGAAATTGCAATCCTTCAAAAAATAGCACAAGCAAGTTTGATTTTTCTCCTCACTTGGATCTTTCCTTGAGAAGATGTAATCCTAATGTTTTTGAGAATCATGTTACTCAAGAAAGGCCTACTCTCTGGCATCCTAATTCATCAGCCTTTACAAGGTTGGTTGCTATTGTATTTGGCATTATCGTCTTGAGAATTTAGCACAAATTTTTTTTTAAGTGTTTTAGAACAAATGGATTGAATCAGAGTTTGCTTTTGCATGTGTTATAGCCGATAATTGCATTTTTTTAGTTGCTAATCATACCAATGATCCTTAATGCAGGTACACTAGCAGACCATCACAGCCCCTGCATTCAACATTGACATGTGTCAGTGATCAAAAGAAAGAGTCCATGACTAATTCTGAGAAGATGCTGTCCAATATTATTTCTGAATATAACTCGGATACTCCCAGTCCCACACTAACTTCTCAAAGAAACATGATCCCTTTGACGACTGGAGCTACTGGTCAATTGAAGCAAACTGAAGTAGCAGTATCATGCATGCAACAGAGAGTATTTCCTGTCCCAGTACCAGTGAAGGGTATAAGATTGAATAACCTGAGTGATGGCCATAATTCTGTAATTCCTCCAATCTTTTGTGTGCAGTCAAGTTCATTCCCAATGCCAAGTCCAAGCTCAGCCAACCAACAGGAACCTGCCTTTAGTGTGAATCCTTTTCGTCATTCCAGTTTTGAAACTAACTCCTCCAGACAGTTGTATGACCAACTTGCCTCCAATACAAACCAGGCCAACCAACCTTTGCACAAGCTGGAACAAAAGTTGGATTCTGTTGAGAATAGACATATTTCTCCTACCACTGATCAGAGTGCAAGCAGTAGTTTCTGTAATGGCCCCTTAAGTCAGCTTAATGGTATTGTATATGGAAGCACTGGTGCAAGCAATGGCAATGTTGATCAGGTTGCTATTGTCCGAGCTCCTACAGAGAGCAAGAATGATGACAGTTTTCCCAGTCCTGGTGGAAATTCACACCGTTCTATCCAAAGAGAAGCAGCTCTAACCAAGTTTCGCTTGAAGAGGAAGGATAGATGCTATGGAAAAAAGGTACAGAATTCTCTCACCAGCTGCCATCATTATGTGTTTTTGTGTTTACTGTTATACTACTGTGTATACTAGAAATACTGTTATAAGATCCATTAACATTATAAGATACTCATGTTGCATGAAAGTAATAAGTAATTTTCTGGTGCTACTCCTCAATGCAAAGTAAAATGTAGAACCATGTACAAATCACATTCACATAGATTGCGCAACTTAGAAGCAGCTAAGTGTTCATGCTGAATTCTTTTTACAGGTCCGGTATGAGAGCAGAAAGAAACTTGCAGAGAAGCGCCCAAGAGTAAAAGGTCAGTTTGTTCGTCAGGTGCAGGCTGATCCTATGCATACAGAAGCCGAGTGTCATTATGGCAATTCATCTGATGGCTAGTTACAACTTTGTAAACTAAGGAGAGCAAAGGTTCAAATTTGCTTGGATCTTTAGAAATGATATCACTGCTATTGCAGCCTTTTGTTTTGTGAAGCGCGAAGAAACAAATAGAGGGCAGAATTCTAAAAATGCTTTTGCACATATCCGTATCACATTATGATTGTTGACACAGGTTGCCATGTGCTTATTGTAAAATAAGATTTGGATCTTTGAGTTAAGAGTTTTCATCCCTGTTTTTCACCGGGGTTGCCTGAGTCATTTTTTATTGGTTACCTCGTAGATTTGTTCATTCAACAATGCTAAGTTGCAATTACCATACAAACGTAGTGTAAGTACAAATCTAGTGTAATCTCATTTTCTTATCATCAGCTGGAATACAATAGACAAGTTCACCTCAATCTTGATTTTCGAAAATCATTTTCTATGGTTGAAATGCTAACGTGCCCCAGCAACATTAGAATTTGAATTCTTGCTTGCTCTTGATCACTTTTGATTAAGCCAATAGTCCAATTAAATCAAATGTAATCCCCGCTTTATTCAACACAAACTATCATTTAGAACTAAACATTCGATACCGATGTGACCAGCCCATGATTCCAAAACCTATAGACAGGCTCTCTCTATAAGGACATGATATGTTACTAAATCCAGGGTAGCCACTTTCTTGCACTTTGCTCTGCTTTGGCTCTTGCTCGTCTGAGTTTGGTTGTTTATAGGTTAAAACTTTAAATTAATCAATCAAACAATGAAAAGAACAGGACAATACTCCGTAGAATTATATTAGCTTTTTAATGAAGTCACATTCACTTTACAAAGCCTGCTTTCAGCCTTCTCCCACAACACCCCACTAAAACCAAAATAAATAAATAAATAGAGGAAACAATGATTTTAGCCTTCCACTATCCGTTATCATCAACTCCATCAACAGATGTTTATCTCCAAAAAAAAAAAAATCAAAGAAATAGAAAATTGAAGATCTTTTTTTTTTTCCTGTTAAAATGAGAGTCATGACCAAGCCAAATTTTGGCCCCAGAGCAAAAAAAAAAAAAAGTATATTTAGGAAACGATGAGAAATAATCAAAATCATTACCTAAGAGTCAATAGTCTTGGGGTCATCCACTTTTATCAATGATTGAAGGGCTCTAAAACTAAAAAAAGTTTTGTTAAAGCAAACCTTCTCTTTTCTCTAATTTCAAACGTCTGTGCAATCGAACCCCAGACTGTAATAATATTCCTTTTAAAGATCCTAATTAGGAGGGTCCCTTGGCGTATATATATGTAACTAACCTGACTGACTAATGAAGCTGATCCACCAAAAATCCACGGCTGAGTGATGTGTTGGCCCAGAATCAAAATTTTTATGAATTGTTTATACCCTTTTCTTAGCGGCTACATAAAGACACCCAGAAATCATTAGGATGATTCCTGGTTGTTTTGAGAAAGTTTTACAGATTCTTCATGTATCACATGCTTCTTTTGTAACCCTCTGTGCACTGCTCAATAATACAAGAAACTTTTATGTACAACTTCAAAACTACAGCTTTATGTAAAAAAGCTCATGATTTCCATGCACTCCTCATATCTAGATTATCTGTTGATTCAAAAATCATGTTAAGCAAAACCAATTTTGCTTTCACTAAACAAGTTGGCTAATGGAAAAAGAAAGAAGAACCATAACTTAAGAAGTGACATAGTAAGCCCATATTCAAATCCCTGCAACTCCTTCCTATCTCCAGCTGCGACCTCCTTTAAAAAAAAATAAAGAAAGAAATGGAGATGCCACTGGGCCTCTGCACTACATCCAATCGAATAAAAAGGCTATGGCTACTCTCTCTTAAAGCTCTTTTAAAAGCCTTACATTCCTTTCAATTATTCCAAAAGTGTTTCCCATCCCAGGTTCTGGTTAATAAAGCTAAAAATGATATCCCCGCATCCCCCCCTCTCGATGACCATGTCTGCATATACTAAAACATATCTTCTTGTGACGTATTCAGCGTATAAAACTTGTACTTCCAGCCTGTTGCATGGTTCCTTGAGATAGTACCATGAATGTGTTCATGATTTGAGAAGGGGTTCTTAAACCTAACGGGGGGATCTTGAGACCCATGATATATTGAGCGTCTATGGATGAGTGCCAATTGTACTGTGGTTGTGGTCATAGCTGGTAATCACCAAGAAGTAGTCTTTTGGCTGTGTAAGAACAGAAAAAAGGTGAGAAAATGCTGAAAAATATGATCAAATGCTTAGAGGAGATCATTGTAGATGCTAGTTTCCCTGATTCTAATGTGAAAGCAGTCAGATTTGTCTATCATTGAGCGATTCTAAAATGAATATATATTATATTTGCAAGAAAATAAAGTACCAACATGTTGCTACTTGATTTGCTTTTGGGAAAAGGTTAAGCACTTAAACTCCACCACAGTTGGTCATTGCATGACCATCTCATCAGATAATTCAGATTTGCTACATCCACAAAGAGACCAAAGCAAGGAGTATGGTCTATGGATCCAGTGGTTGGAGATGTATCATTGACATCAATTCAATTTACAAACATTGATTTTAAAGGCATATTCGAGAAGTTAGTGAGTGAATATCTTCTATTAGCCACTTCTCACCACCCGGAGGAGCTACCAATCAGAAGTGCGAGAGCAAAGCTATTGCTGCTTTTATTTCCAATTTCTCCCTTCTTTTCAGTATAAAGAAACCATGACATGAGAATAGAGTAAGTACTCAAGTATTGAGATTTGAATTCTAAATCTGCTACTACCTCTTAAAAGTGGTTATATAAACTGAGCCTTTATTAAGCCCATCGCCACCCTTCCCTAGCATCGTAAAACCTTCTCTCTCTTCCCCTCTCTCTCCCTTCTCCCTCCAGCAAATGTCTCAAATCCTCTCAAAATCTCCCAAACACTGCGCCAAGCAAGGACTAAGCATTGATAAGTCCTACAAGAAATTATTTTTTGCATTCTCTGCATTTTTTACCATAGTTTTAGCCTTTATATTCCTCATCTGGCTTATCCTTCACCCTGCAAAACCTCAGTTCTCCCTCAGAGAAGCTGATATCTACCAACTCAATCTCTCGGGCCCTCACCTTCTCAACTCTTCCATCCAACTCACCCTGCTCTCTAAAAATCCAAATAATAAGGTTGGCATTTACTACGACGACTTGCAAGCTTATGCTGCATATAAAGGGCAACAGATAACTGTTGATACATCTCTTCCTCCTTTCTACCAAGGACATGAAGAAAGCAACCTGTTAACAGCATTTCTAGAGGGAACGGGGCTGCCTGTGGCTCCATCCTTTGCTTACGAAGTTAGGCGTGATCAGACATCTGGAAGAATAGTCCTGAACTATAAGGCAAACGGAAAGCTTAGGTGGAAGGTTGGCACTTGGGTTTCTGGCCGATATCGCTTCAACGTTAACTGTGTTTCTGTCATGGCCTTTGGACCTACTGCCCCAACAGGTCCACTGAGTTCAATTCGAGGGACTCAGTGTTCCACTGCCGTGTGAGATGATGTTAACTAACATGCTTGGCAGTTGATATTTATCAGCTTGATTTTCTATAGTTTTCGCTGTTTTATGTATTGTATTCTGTAAATTAAATTTAGTTCATCAGAAAGATTGAAACATAAGGATTGTACTGTTGTAAGTGATAATGAAAAGCTTGTTTAGATTGTTTATCGTATCTTAACTTCTACTTTTATCATTCTGGCCTGATTTCGCTTTGCACGTGCTTGGTAGACAATTAAAAAGAAGATGCATATCTCCTTTTTTTGTAGAAAGATGAGGAAGGATTGTTTCAACTTTGCTTGTTTGATTGTTCACCGAGCAGGAAGAAAGACATGTAGATATCGAGATGACGGTGGATGAGATTCTAATCGGAAAGAAAAAAAAAAAAACAGGCTGCAAAAGGCCGTAACTAGGTTGCTTTGGTGGTTAAAAAATAATCAAAGTGCATGTCAACGCTTTACCTTTAATAATTACAGACCATTCATGGTGGCTATCTAGACCAATCACATAGCCGCCAGCCCAGACCTGCTGGGCCCCTTTGCTTCCTGGATCTTTTCTTTCATTTCTGTCCCTATCGACGAACATGAAAACTTCAATATACATGGAACAAATCAAATCCAGAAGCAGGTTCATTATACCTTCCTTTCCTCCTAAAGAAATTTTGCTATGAAATACTCTTAAAATTTTCTTTCTTTTTCTAATTGCAAAGTCTTTGTGAAACAGTCAAAAGACATCTAGTAAAACTTTCTGCAATTATCAAAGAGAAAAACCGAGATGGAAGGAGAAATAAAGTACCAGCCCTTTATGCAGTGCATCTTTTTGTAAAGGGGAGAGATCAAACGTTAATGGAACTAGACCTAGATACACTAGTTGTTTCATGCACCTATTTTGCAACTAGTAATTGATTTCTTCAGTGAAAAATGTATAATACAGACAAAATCAATTCATACTCAGTGCTCTCAAAAAAGCAGTAAAATTTAAAGAGAATGAGGAACTATTTTCAAAAGTGACCAAACTTTTTAAGGATATGAAAAGCTGGTGATATCTCACCTGATGATCAGTTACAATAATCTGAACGATGAATTCCTTAAAGAGGAAATACTTTAAACTTACTTTGCTTAAGAGGAAATGCTTAAACTTTTCATAAGAAACCTCAAAAGAACTTATTCAATAAACTCTTCAAACATAAGGATACCTTGAAACAAAGCTCCTCTCAAATGCATATGGAAAGAGAGAATTCATAGTGTTATGGTCAATTGTAACATTGGCATGTATATCACTCAGCATTTGACTATTGACAGCATATTAGATGAAAGTGGGGCTCAAAATTGTAGTAGCTAGAATAATACAGAGAGCTGAATCCTATTAATCATTATTCTAACTAGATATTTAGCAGTTAGGTTTTATTTAACCATGATGCAATAGTGGACAGCCAGCACTTATCAAGTTACCAGCCAATAGCACACTTGTAAATGGCAATCATCCCTCCATCATCCATTATCAAGACTTAGGAGTCCTCAAGCTCAGGAACCAAGTACAAAGATGAAAACGAGTCACAAAGATTAAGCCACTCACTAAAACTTGTGTAAAAAGAGAAAAAGGTCTAAAAACTAGCTTGCTCAATAAGAAGTTAATTTCTTTTCATATAATTAAATATTTTTAAATTTAAATCTTGTATTTGCTGCCTTACATTCACAAAAAGGCACACTAAATCTACATTGCTGTCACATTATTTCTTCTCGAGTACTACATCAGTATTTGGACGATGCTTGCTGTATCCACTGGTCATATCTGACGTCTACAATCTTAACTTCAATGGCCCTAGGAAACTTATACTAAAAATCTTTTCCCACTAACAGTTCGCAAAAAATATCCATTATATTGCTCAAAGACAACTAAAAGAAACCTCCCTCACTCCAGTATCTGGAACTCAGAAGGTCTTCAAAGGAAGCACGTGTGAGAGATCAGAACAGAAAGAATAAAGCAACAAGGCTCTACAATTGCAACAGAAACGTATTGTATGCAATCAAAACTGATACGATGACATAAACTCATTGAGACAACCGCAATGGTCTATACATACAAAATAACAACAAGACATGAAGCTCTGTATTTGAACAATGACTAAAAACTGAAGTATGCAATTCTGTCGTTTTCATATAAATTGTTATATATAGAAATCAAATATTCCTTTTACCACACAAAAACAGGTACTTTAATGCCTTAGCCTCTCAGCTTCAAGCCAGGATCAAATAACAAGAAAAAGTCAAACAAGAACCCTTATTATATTCCAAGTAATTCAACTAAAATTCCGAATCCATAAGTGAAAATTCAAGAACAAACCGAGTCAGAACTAACCCATTTCCAGTAATGCTTCCTTACAGACACGGCTTTCTCCAATCTCCTAGTCCCATCAAAATCCTTGTACTCATCCTTTTCTTCAGTACAAAAATCTTCCTCAGGCAAACCTTCCACCCAAGCGTCCACCGAATGCAAAACATAACGTGCCGGCAAACCCGGATATGACACCGAATTTCGCTCCTCGAGTTTCTTTTGATAAGACCCCGGCACAATTCTCACGACCCCAGAATCAATTATCGAACCAAGCTCTTCTTTTACTGCACGAGCCACGGCTTCTTCAGGGGTTTCATGGGGCTTCATTTTCTCTGATAATGGTCTAAACCGATCCCTGACACTACCATCCGACAATTCTTGCCGAGATTCGACGAGGATAAGGTTGTCTTCGCCGAGTATACGAACTGTGACGACATTAACTGTACGGAGTGGAGGGGAGGAATCGACGAGAGATGTCTCACCTTCGGAGAGTTCCAGCCAGAGATTGTGGACGTTTTTGGTTCCAGGTTTGACCCCCCAAGAAGTCAGCGAATCAGAGGGTAAGCGGGGTTTGAGCCAATCGGAGAGAGCTTGTGGGGTAGCAAAGGGGGTCCTGGAGTGAGACATGGATGGAATTTTGAGAAAGCGGCGTGGGTTTGGAGGGAAAGGAAGGAGTTTGGGGAGAATGGTATGGTTGGGCTTAGGCGAAGAGAAGAGCACAAGCAGAGAAATTGCAGTTAGGAATATGTCAGGGAGACTAGCTGTCGGCTTGGTAAGGTAGAAGTTTGATTTGGCGTTGGTTTGGGCATTGTTTACCGACTGAGGCGGCCTTGACATGTTACTGACAATTATGTCTTGTTGAAGCAGCGTTATGATCATGTACGAGGAAGAGGAGCTGCGATGGTTTGATGGCGGTGGTCAGGTCCATTACAAGGAACAAAACTGGAGAAAGAAAAGGAGGTTTGATTTTGTTGGTTCAGGTATTGTCAAGCAGCCAAGAGAAATAAGCGGTGGGAAATCGTGGGGAATTTTTGAGATCAGATATTCTATTTCATATTCCTTTGTCTGTCGTGATCTCTGTGGCAGAAGGTTAAGAACTTAAAGACTCACGGTCAAACTGGGCCGCCAAATGCGAATTGATCAGTCTTTGATGAGCCACTTGCCACTACTGTTTCGAAATTTTAGGCCCAAAGCAATCGATTAAGGTCTTAAATTGATTAGTTTTAACAATGTGGTACAAGCCTAGTAGGGTTTGAGTTTAGACTTATTAGTTGTGTCCTTGAGACCCTAGGCAAAATGTTTTGCTCATTTGGCAAACATACTCCTTGAAAGTAGCTCTTATTTTCACCTTTTTTTTTTTTTAATTTTTATGAACCATTTCATTGAGAAATATGTTAAAGTAATAAAATAATAAGACAAAAATAATAATTGTATGTGACTTGTCGATAGTTACGTAATCAATTGATTAAGTATTGAACTCTTAATTTTAATATTTAAAAATTAATTTTTGATAAACTCAAATAATAAAAAAATTGTGTGTCTCGACTATTTAGTTAAACTATAATTAGTGAAATACTTACAGCTGCATTACTATGTTTACTTAATGAAAATGCACAAAGTATTTGTGATGTGAATTTTAAAACTAAAAACATAGGGTCGCAGTAGATAAATGCAAGAATCATTTGTTGTTTGCTTGTGTTTTTTCTCAGTAGATGTGTCTATTAGGAATATGTGGGGTCTAGCCTCATGTAATTAGTTTTAGCTAATTAAAGGCCATGGGTTTTTTACTTTTAACCTAAAATAAAGTCTTAAACAATAAAAAAAGAGGTTGTGTAAAAGGCGTAAGGAGTGGTACCTTAAACCAAAAACCAAGAGAAAAAGAAAAGTTAGAAAAAATAGAGAGAAAAAAAAAGAAAAGTGAGTTGATTAAATGAAAGTCGATCCGTGGTCCAATTGAATTAAAATTTTATCAATATGTTTATGATTCAAAATTTTACATTCTGAACAATGAAGATTGAATTTGAAACTCTTTAAGAACAAATCTAAAGTTTATTTATTAACTCACCTATTGGGTGAGATTTCTCTAATTATCTCTTTAGTTGTTGATTAGCTCTAGTTTTAGTTAAAAAAAATTTTGTATTTCTATTATTTGATAGTGGAGATTTTTTCTGGTGACCCATGGTTTTTTTCCTCTACATTTGAGGATTTTTCTTGTAAATCTTGGTGTATTGTATTTTTTCTATGTTTTAAATTATTGATTGTTATCTATTACTGTGAGTTTATTACGATATATTATTTTTTCGTTATTGTGTTTGTTGCTTCAGGCTCAACAAGTGGTATCAAAGTAAAGATTATTCTGAGACATCGATACAAAAGTAACCTAAGAAAAAGTAAATTCTATTTAAGATCATGAAAAGTGATATCGATTTCATGATAAAATTGACAACATCAAATTATTTAATTTGAAAGCCTATGATAAATAATCATTTATACTACAAAGATTTGTATGACTTTGTATTGGGTAATTCAACTAAACTAGCATATACGAAAAATAAAAACTGAAATAAGTTGAAAGAAAAATGCTGGCTATAATTAGAAAATGGGTTGATGATAGTGTGTTTTATCATGTAGCACAGGAAACAGATGCCCATACTATTTAAGAAAAATTGATAGCATTATATGAGAGGAAAATAGGCATGAATAAAGTTATATTTGTTAAAAAAACTTGCAACTTTACAGTAAAATAATGGATGATTGGTTACAGAGCATTTGCGTGATTTTTAAGATATATTTAATCGAATGACTACTCTGAAGCTTAAAATAGATGATGAAATGAAGGTGTTGTTCATAGGGTTCATTGCCAAACAGTTAGAATACTCTAATTATGACTATTCTTAATTAAGCTCCTGATTACAAAATGATATTAGAGATAATAAAGGATAGTATGCTTAATAAAAAAGCAAGACAAAAAGATTTAGACCCTGAAAATCAAGTTTTGATCATAGAAAACATGGATAGAAACATCAATAGAGGTTAGAACTTAAAAAGTCATAGTAAATTTAAACATAGATTCAAGTCTAGAGATAAAGTGAAGTACTTTCATTGTGATAAACTAGGTCATATAAAGCAATACTGTAAAATTTTGAAGCAAGAATAAAAAAATGAAAAACATAAGAGCTCAAATGATAATAATGTTGCAGCAGTAAATTCATATAGTGATTCTATTACTTTGATTTGTACACAGTGATTATAATCATGTTGGTGATCCTGATATTTAGTGGATAGTTACACAAAAGTGACATATCATTGTGTTGTTAAGAGGGAGCTGTTTATAACTTACAAAGTAGAAAACTTTGGTTACACCAAGATAAAAAATAAGAATATGTCGTAAATAGTTGAGATTGATGATATTATTGTATAAACTAGTATAGGCTGTATGTTGACTTTGAAGGATGTTATACACATTCTAAATATAAGAATAAACTTACTTGCTATTTAATATCTTTGATAAGAAAAGATATGAGAGTCGACAAAAGAATTAACAGTAAAAGCTTCTCAAATGATCTATAGTAGTTGCAAAGAGAAAATTATACTACACAATGTATAAAATATAGATGCAATTGAACGATAACCATATAAATATCATTGAGGATGATGATTTAGCAAATATGTGACATAAGAAACTAGCACACATAAGTGAAAAGATGTTATAGGTTTTAACAAAGTAGTTTCTTATTACCTTGACCAAAGATATGTCTCTTGTTCATGTAATAATTTTTTATTTGGTAAGCATCGTAAAGTTCTTTTTGTAAGAGTTTTTTTGAAAAAGAAAACAGATTGAAATGATTTATTTTAATGTATGTGGTCTCATTGAAGTTAAGTCATTAAGTGGTAGCATATATTTTGTTACTTTTATTGATGATGCTTCACATAAGATTTTGGTATATATGTTAAAAAATAAAAGCTAGTTATTTTAGTATTTTTAAGAATTTTATGCCATGATGGAAAGGATAATAGGGTTACCCTTGAAGTGTATTTAATTGATAATGGTAGAGAATACACATCCAAAAACTTTAAAAAATAATGTTCAAAGCATGAGATCAGGTATGAGATGATAGAACCTAAAATATCGTAGCATAATGGTATAGCTGAAAAGATGAATCGTACCATTATGAAAAAAATCAAATGTATGTTGAGGATGACAAAATTATCAAAGCCATTATGGGGTGAAGCAATCAACATAGCTTGTTATTTGCTTAAAAAATCACCATAAGTTCTTTTAGGCTTTGGCATTCTAAAAAGAGTGTGGACAAGAAAAAATGCTTCATACTCTCACTTGAAAATTTTTGAGTGTAAAGCATCTATGTATGTGTCAAAAAAATAGAGGTCAAAGCTTGACAGTAAAGTTATACAATGTATGTTTGTAAGAGATCGTAATAAGGAATTTGGCTATAGGGTATGAGATTCAGTGAAAAGAAAGATAATTAGAAGCAGAGATATGGTATTTCATGAAAAGAAACTATAGTAGACCTTAAGAAAAATAAAAAAACTACACAGGTTACTGTTGAGTGTAATATTTTAACACTAACAGGGATTTCATTAGAAAGAGTCACAGATGGTAGAAATGAGCAAGAAATAAAACTTAAAGATATGAATGAGTCAGTCATAGTTAGTGATGAGCTAGATGCAATCAGTTTTGAGCAAAGGGAGCAATCCTCTCCACTAGAGAGTATTGAGCAGGGGGAGCTACCTTTGTCATCATATGGTGTAAAGTTTCAATCTATGATATCTACTAGAGAGCACAAGTCATCCACCAGATATTAAAGTTTAAATTTTATTTAAGTTACCAGTGAAGGAGAGCTAAAGAGCTTACAAGATGTACGGATTATTCTGAATAGAGATTACTGGTTAAAAGCAATGAAAAAAATAAATGGAGTTATTACGAAAAAATGATACATATGATATTGTTAAGACTGCATTCTTGCATGGTGACTTACAGAATGATATTTATATAGATCAGTCTGAAGGTTTTGAAGTAAAAAAGAAAGAGTACTTAGTTTGTAAACTGAAGAAAAACTTATATGGCTTGAAACAAACTTTGCGATAGTAGTACAAAAAGTTTGATTCTTTTATGGTGAGCCATAATTATAAAAAAACAATAACGGATCCTTATGTGTATGTCATAAAATTTTTTAATAGTAACTTCATTATTCTCTTATTATATATTGATAATATGTTAATAAGACAAGATGCTGGTATGGTTCACATGGTGAAAAATAATTATCTAAGTCATTTGATTGAAAGATTTAGGTTCAGTAAAATAGATTTTCAATATGAATATTATTCGAGATAGGAGAGCTAGAAAGCTATGATTATCATAAAAAAAGTATGTTAAACGGGTACTTAGTAGATTCAACATACAGGATGCTAAATCAATTAGCAGTCCACTTGCCAACCATTTTATTTGAGTAAGAAATCTTATCCAGTGACTAAACAAGAGCAACTAACTATGTCTAATATTTTTATTTTTTTTACAGTTGATTCTTTGATCTATCTTATGATTTACACATGGCCTAACATTGCTCATGCAGTTGGTACAGTGAGTAAATTTTTTTCTAATCTAGGAAAGGTTCATTGAGAAACAGTGAAATAGATTTTCAAATTATTTGAGAGGCACCTAAAAAATATACTTGAGTTATAGAGTTTCCTAATTAGGTTTAAAAAGGTTTACTAATGCTGACATAATAAATAATCTTGATGGTAGAAAATCTATTTTAGAATATTTATTCACTTTTGCAAGAGAAACTGTGTTTTGCAGTCTAAGTTGCATGAGTGTATTACTTTGTCAACTACAAAGGTTGAGTATATTGCAACAATCAAAGTAGGTAAAAAAATGCTTTAGATCAAAAAGAGTATGTAGTCTTTTGTGATAGCCAGAGTATTTTAAATTTGAATAACAATGTCATGTACCATATTAGAACAAAACACATTGATGTTAGATATCACTGATACAACATATGCAGTTGAAAAAAGTTCATACTAATGAGAATGCATCAGATATATTAACTGAAACACTTTCTAAGACAAAGCTTAAGCTTTGTAGTAACTTAGCTAGAATGGATTCATTGGTCAAAGTAATTTTTAAATGAAACTGCTATGGTGATAAATCTTTCCTAATGGGATTTGAGGGGAAGATTGTTAGGAATATGTGAGGTTTAGCCCCGTGTAATTAGTTTTAGCTAATCAAAGGCCATGGGCTTTTGACTTTTAACCTAAAATAAAGCTTTAAACAATAAAATGGGGTTGTCTAATAGGTGTAAGGAGTGGCACCGCAAACCGAAAACCAAGAGAAAAATAAAAGCCAGAAAAAATAGAGAGAAAATAAAAAAAGGAGAGTTGGTTAAATGGAAGTCGATCTATGATCTGATTGAGCTGAAATTTTGTCAGCAAGTTTATGATTCAAAATTTTACATTCTAAATGGTGAAGATTAGGTTTGAAGTTCTCTAGAAAGAAATTCATAGTGTATTTGTTAAGTAACCTATTTAGTGAGATTTTATCAATTGTCTATCTAGTTGTTGATTAGCTCTAGTTTTAACTAAAGGAGAACTTTGTATATTCATTATTTAATAGTGAAGATTTTTTTAATGGTTCGTAGTTTTTTTCCTCAACACTAGAGGGTTTTTTTACGTAAATCTTAGTGTAGTTTTTTTTTTTCTACTATTTGGATTATTGATTGTTGTCTATTGCGATATATAGTTTCTATGTTATTGTGTTTGTTACTTCAGGCTCAACAGTGGCAAGGTAATGTAGAAAAGATTATGACAGACAAAACAAGACTGCAGAGTTGCTTGGTTAACATATATCTACCACTTATAGAGAGCAAGAAACTCAATTAATTCTTGATTTGGATTCAATCATGCCAACTGTGGTGAATTATCGCTACTTTTTCTTCTTAAGGTCCCTTTATTACTATTTTATCAAAAAAGTTAATAATTCAATATATATTTTAAAAATCATTTGATATATTACTATCATTTTTATTAATTTTTAATTATTTATTAAAAAATTTATTATTTGACATAAATATAATATTAGCTTTTTAAAATTATTTTCATAAATGTCAAATAATTAAAAATTTTTATTATATACAAATTTTAATTTAATATCTTTAATGATTTTTTTAATCACAATTTACCTCATTGTTACCGTTGCGTTTGTATTCAAATGTTATTCCTATCATTGATTTTAATTTTTATGCTACAATAACAATTTTATTATTATAATAATTAATCTTACCTCCATCATTATTTTTAATTTCATCAAAATTAATTTTATCGTCCATCCAAATGGATCATAAATTTAGCATTTCTGCACACTTTACAAGAACTATCTTACAGCCAATTCTTGTTGATGTATGGACCTTTTTTTGATCGGCCGATGTGAAGATTAGATTGTCTGTTTTTGCTTATTCCTGATACGCTGCAAACATGTTATTATGTAAAAACTGGGATTTTGAACTTGGGAGCAAATTAGCTTCCAATGGCTGTACAAGGTTTTTTCAGTAGCAAGACTTTTCCTGTTTCTTGGATAATGAAATACATTCACCAAAAAGGAAAAAACAAAATTTTGAGCCAAGTTGGACCTGGTCACATTATCATGAGGAACGCCTCTGAGCTCCCCTTGGACCAAATTTTGATCTCATTCTAAGTAAGAATCAGCGACCAATGAAATGTTTAATAGTAAACGAATGAATGGAATAATGCGTTGATGTCATGTTTGATTCAAAATTCAAAACAAATAGTGTCATGTTTTGATCAAACTCAAAATGTTTTGATTTTTGTTATTTAAAATATTTATCAATAAAAATTATGCAATTATGGTACGTGAATATTAATTATTTAGTTGTTTTATAAAAAATAATTAAAATATTAAGAAAGCTCCTAAGCATATAATGATATTTGTTTATGTTACGTAATAATTAATTATTTAAAAATTTCATAAAAATTTTTAAAATATTAAAAAAATGAATTATTTTATTTTAAAATAAATTTTATACTTTTATTATATCTAAATAAATCATCATATTTTTATTTATATCCAAATAAATGAAAAATAATTTATATTAAAAATTTATTTAATGCGAAATTAAAACTATGAAGACATACATTGGAGTCTTAAGGCCTTAAATTAAGTAGATCTAAAATTGAATATATGGAATATAAATTTAATAATCATAGAGAAGCAGATGTTACTGTGATTAAGTTGAATGATGAGATAATACCAAAAAGTAATCATTTTCAATATTTAGAATCAAATATTTAGAGTGATATTGAGATAGGAAAATATGCAAATTATAAGGTTCATGCAGTATGAATGAGATCGCGAAGTGCATCGAGTGTGTTGTGTGATCGTAATATATTTTTAAAGTTAAAGGTGAAGTTGTATAAAATAACTATAAAGCCTAAGTTGTTATATGAAACTGAGTATTGGGCCATTAAGCAATAACATGAAAAGAAAATAAGCATAACTAAGAGGAAAATGCTTAATTTGATGTATGATAAGATTGGAAGAAACAAAATTATAATGAAGAGATTAAAAAAAACTAAGGGTAATCCGAATTGCAAAAAAAAAAAAAGAGAAAACCATTTGAGATATTTTAGACATGTAAAACATTTGTGCACTAATTAAGAAAATGAATTTCTAAATTTAAGAAAGACCAAAATTTTTAAAAATATATCACAAAAGATATGGATGCAAATAATAAAAATAATATGAGGGTCAAAAAAGTTTATGAAAATATCGTTTTCTATATAAATAAGTGACAAAAAAATTTAAAATTATGATCTAATATGATTTTTTTTTTTTTACTTTTTATATAATCAATCCCAAAATTATGAGATATAAGACTTAATTTATTAATGTTGTATTTAAATACAAATTAAAAATTAAAAATTTATTTAGATACAAATTAAATTTAAGGATTTTTTAAATGTAAATTAAAAATTAAGAGTTCATTTAAATGCAATAAAAATATAATAACTTATTTAAGTAAAATTATAAAGCTTAAAGTTTTTTTTTATTATTTTAGCCTAAAAAAATTGTGTTTAGTTAAATATTTTTTATTCAAACTTCTAAATGAAACACCAAAACAATTAGAACTTGATTTTTTTTTAATTTAAAGTACAATTTTCTTGTTAAAACCTCTTTTCGAGATTCATTCCTTTTAAATGGATATTGGAAAACAATTTACGTACATAACCAATGGATACATCTTCTAATGACAAGAGGGAAAAATGGGGTTTTGTGCACTTGTACTACATAAGGCAGATCAAGCATCCAAATATTAAACATGATAATCAAAGATGCCTTTCACAAGTGAAACTTTAATGGCACTGTTTACTCTTTGATGATAGACCTAATTATTTAAAGAAATTTTACCATAGACTTCATCGGTAGTACTAAGTACTAACAGAATTAAAAGGCTTCAACAAAACGGGTTCTACAATTTGACTTAAGAGCAACAAGCTTAAGCACTCTAATACATTTCAAGCAGGGAAATACAGTCTCGAACCTCAAACTTTGAGAAGTTGCATTTTGCTAGAAAAAGCAATGGAAATCCAATCAGGCTGAGCGGCAGACCACTGCAACTGATTAATTTCGGAGCCAGCCGAGTACATAGACAAAGGGTCAATCCCATTAGGTCCGGCCACCGTAGGCAACTCCCAAATTAGCGCCTGCGTGTCATCCCCAACAGAACAAATATGCCTACAACTCTGAGGAGCCCAGGCAATCGCATTGACACTGGCTCGGTGCCTCTCCAACTCAGCCACCGGTATTGAGGGTGACCTTATATCCAAGATCACAACTTTATTGCTATCCATTAGAATCGTAGCCATATACCTCAAATCTTGCTTGTTCCAAGCTAATCTTAACAAAGGGGTGTCCGGCTGAGGACTTTCATAAATAATCGTGGAATGTTCTTTGTCTCTTAAGTCGAAAATCCTAACGGACCCATCAGCGGAAACGGAAGCAAAAACTCTAGCTTCACCCCAAGCAATGTCGTAAACCTCTTTATCGTGAGCGATCAATTGGGTTTCGACAACGCCCTTTTCGATGTCCCAAATGGTACACGTGGTATCGATGCTAGAGGTCCCAATTCTATTGGGTTCAACATCGTTCCAATCGAAGGAAGTTAAGGGGGAGCAAAACTCGCTGGTTTTGCTGTTGTTGAGAACAGAGAGAGGTTCGATGGAAGATTCTCGAACTTCCCAGAGACGAAGGTAGTCACCGGATGAAGCGAGGAGATCGGAGAAAGAAGAGGAAGGGGATTTTCGGTTGGGTTGGAACATGAGTTTTGTGGGTGGGTAAGGGTGGTCGAAAGAAAGGGTTGGATGGGTTTTGATGGAAAGGGTTTCCGGGTCGAAGGAGATCACGTCAACTCTGTTACCGTAGTCTTCGATGAAACTACCGAGAGCGATGCGTTGGTGGTTGAGATTTGCGACGGAGGGCGTGGAAGAAAAAGCCATAGCGTAAATTGGGTAGGGTGATTCGTAGGTTATGGAGTTGTCGGATCTCAGGTGGGATTCTTGAGTTGAATTCTCCATTTCTTTTTCTTTGAGAATGTGCAGGAAAATTGGTGATAACTTTCAGGGTTTATTGGGAAAGTTTTGGGGTGGTTTCAATTTTCCTGGTTAAGTTTCCAGGATAATGCAAGTCAATTGTACATCTTTTTGAAGGAATTTTTTATTTTTCACTTGAGTGGGGTTAGGGCCTGCCGTCCATGGTTTTCAAATCACCTGTCATTCAACACATTCAAGTTGAACATGGTCAAGGTCAAAAGACAACCATGAACTTTCTTCTTCAAAACAAGGGAAGAGTCTACAGGGAAGTCTCTGTGCTTGGTATATTATAGTATTGCACTAGAAGTTGAACGATGTGAAAAGGGTGCCTAGGGACAAGTAGATTTAAATTACAATAAAATATTTACTATAATATTTAAATTATAAATTTATTAGTTAATATAATATTTATTTTTAATGTAATTAATTTAAATTATGATGTGGGACAAATAAATATTTTTTAAAATATTATTATTTAAAATTAATCTTATTAAAAATAAATATTATATTAATTAATAAATTTATAATTTATATTATATTAAAATTTTTTAACATTTAATTTTCATATTAAATATTTAGGAACCTTTCATTGTATATATTTTTTTCTATGCGAAAGGACGAAGAGTAAAAAGGGGAAATGGGCCAAATTTGCTAAAACCCAACCACACAATCAGCATAAGAAGTGGTCACATGAACAACTATTTTTTGTGGGCTTTTTTATAGTTCTAAAGTTTAATGCCTTTTAGTTGGGCCAACTACCAAGGACTGTTGTTGTCCAGTAATTATGGCCCAGTATCTGCGTGAATCATTCACCCAGTGCGTGGACGAAATGCAATACTGCTAGACTAGTACTACCATGGGCAGCAGTGCTAAGCCACCAGATGACTGAAAAGCATCAGAAAGCACACAAAAGTACAAACGGTGACACAATTGGCGGTGCCGAATTCGGAGAGTTAAAATTCTTAAATTATAAAAAAAAATTAGAATAAAGATATAAAGTATTTTTTGTATTTATATATCAATATTTAAATTGAAGATTGACATTAAAAAACAAAAAAATAAAAATAAAAATGTAAGAATAAAATGAATATAAAATAATAACATCTGAATATTTTTATTTATAAAAAAAATAAGAGTTTATAGAATAAAATAATAATATAATCGAATCAATATAATATTATATATATTAAATTAATTTGATATATAATATTAATTTAAAATATTAAATAAATTTAAAATTTTAAAATATTTTTAATTATTTGCTAACATTTTTAATTAAAGGATTGATCAATATGGTTTTTGGACTTAAAAAATATTTTTAATAACAATATTAGAAAAATTATAAGTATTAAAAATTAAATTCTTAATTTATTAAATATTATTTTATAAAAATAATTATATAAATCAATGTATGCTTTTCGATCTACTATTTGAAGAGTATAGATGCAACTAGCGTTGATCAATGTGTTCGGGTGCTTGTGATTCATAAAACCCAATTTCTAGATTACAACATGCGACCAACGACGATGCTTGGTTTCAAATGACATGAAACCTTGTAAACTGCCCTTTTCAGGTGTTTTTGTGCTTTTCACTAGTTCTTTTAAAAGTGTGGCGGTCAGATTGATATCTCCGTTGGTTGAGCTGTCTGCCATCAATTCATGAATAGAACCTGAGATTGGCCAAATCAACCGAAGTAGCAGAATTTTCAAGCTTCATTCAAGTTGCATGTATATTATTTTTGTTCCTATGCCAACTTAGATGTTCAACAATAAGATTTTTTTTTTCTTTATTTTCGTTAGTGTGGTAAGAATTTGGTTTATCAGTAGAATAATCCTAGACTTTTCATCTCTATCAAATAATTTGTTTCATGTCATAAAAAATGTTTGAAACTAATAACAATGAAAGACTAATACTACTATTTTTTTTTTAAATTAATAATTTTAATAATGGTTTAAATGTGTTGAAGATTGAAAATAAAGATAAGAATGAGTACATAAACGAAACGTTTGGCTAAGAAACATATACTTTAGTAGATGTATTGAACCGTATATATATTACTAAATTATTTACTTTTCGTTTTTGAATAATTGTTTTTTGTTAATTTTTTGGATTAATTTAATTTAATTTACTTATTATTTATAATAAAATTATAAAAGTAATTTTTTTTTAAAAAAAAATAAGATTTGTAAATTTTATCAAAATTTTCAAAATATATTTTTAAAAAATTTTAATTTGATATAATAGTTTAAAAAATAAAAGTCAAAATTAAATTTTTTGACTAAAAAAAATCAAATATGAACAATTAAAATAAGATAGGAGTAACTGTAAGTGGCGGTGCTTGGGTTTTTTTTTCTTCTTTTTCATTAATAATAAACTATAATTTTGATGTTGATCATGAGTTGGACGGCAATTGCCTTTGGGGGTTTTTAATTTAATAAATAATTATTTTTATACAATTTTTTCGAAGGGGAATAACAACACCCTCCTTCTGAAAGAGAACTTTCCGTATAAGAAAGATCTCTGCTATCAAACCGTTCTAGAGTACAGATCATTAGGTTAGAAAATGATCATGTTTTAATTGGTAGGAATTTTGAATTTTCTGCTTGTGCTTGTGAAATTAATATCTTTGGGCTTCGAGCTGAGAGTTTGACACCTATGGATTTCTATCCACTCCAAGATTTAAAAGTTAATAAGTCTTTGCTGATATCTCTTGAAACTATTACATTCCATGGATAAGAAAGAACGAAAGAAAGAGAGTTCTGATGTCTAAATGTTAAATTGTGTTGAATTGATAGGGTAATTGTAAGTCATTACTGCGTACAAGTTCGAGAACTTGGGTATAGATTACAAGAATTAATATCAGAAAGCTTAGCCCTGGAAAAAGATTACATAAAGAACGTTCGCGGGGAACAAGGGCTGCATATGGCTGTGAACTATTACCCGCCATGCCCGGAGCCAGAGCTAACTTATGGATTGCCTGGACATACATACCCCAATGCTCTCACGATTTTACTTCAAAACTTGCAAGTTGCGGGCCTTCAAGTACTCAAAGACGGCAAACGGTTGCTGCTAATCCCCACCCAAATGCTTTTGTCATTAACATTGGTGATCAATTACAGGTAATGTAACGCTGATACTTTTCCTTGTGCGCTATGAAGTTATTCATAATTAAACTCGAAAGGAGTAAAAAAAATTTTTAAAGTAAGAATGTTGGAATGAATGACTAATTGCATTTGAGATCCCTTGCTTTAACCTGCCAATGTGAAAGCATGATAGCAAATCAGTTATGACATTGATGATTGCGGGCATTGAGTAATGGGAAGTACAGGAACGTGTGGCATCGGGCGATTGTGAATGCTGATAAGGAAAGGATGTCTGTTGCCTCCTTCCTCTGCCCATATGACCATGCCTTGATCAGCCCTGCAAAACCTCTCACGGAAGATGGATGTGGAGCTGTATACAGGGATTTTACTTACGCAGAATATTACAGTAAGTTTTGGAGCAGGAACCTGGACCAAGAACATTGTTTGGAACTTTTCAAGAACTAATTCCAGCTTCATTGCCTAGTTCTTCTATTCTATCATTTTCTTGACTCGTCAGTTATTGCCTGCTTGCTGCCGGTTAAAATGCCATGCGTCTGTTGTACAGAGGCGTTATTTTTATTTTACAAAAATGCATAACTGCAACATTGTTAGAACGCCCCTTTATTATTCATTGCAGTGAGCCATTTTTCAATGCAGCATATTGATGTATGTTGGCCACCATTTTGGAAGCAGACTGTAACTTACACATATGTAGAACTTCCAAATTTCCGCAGAATGAGGTTTGATTCTTGGTCCACAAAGAAGCATGGGATCATTATGTACTGATGTTTCACTTCCATGTATTATTGTATTCTAGCACGTAGGACAAAATTCTGTCATAAAATGGTTATCTTCAGGAGAATATATTTTCTGTCAAAAGTGGTTCTGTCTGTTTGTGAATGTTTCAATTTGAGTCTAGCTAGCCACTGACTTTAGCCATTCTGATTTTAGCCACCTTATTTTCTTAGGAAGCAGATGCATACTATTGGATAATGAATATAGTTGCCCTCACACTCGCGGAGTTATCATGCATCTTTTCTTAACCAGATTTGGTAATTGGAGAATCTGTATTACTTCTATACAGTTGCATCAGAACTTAACAGAACATATGCTTTTAGCGTTTTCGTACAATTTGCATATGCAATGTAGGCATCTGTTAAACTGAAAATCTTAATTATATTTCACTAGAGCGACTTATGGAGTAAATACCTCCTCAAACATCTGCTCTTATCCTAAATTTCTAGTCCTTAATAAGGCTAAATAATGCCCTCAGTTAAAGTTGTGATATTTGCTCAAGTTTCTCTTCTCTGACTCGAGGATAAAACTGTGGGCTGCATACCAATCAGTTGGTCAGCCCTGTTTGCTTTAAGTTACTATAAGATAATTTGACAAGGATTTCCCAAGTTTTGCTTAATGAAAATGCCAGCAAACAAAATGTGCATTTATACAATCAGCTTCTTCAAGATTCCTTCTCAAAGTTGAGGCTTTATGCCTATTTAAAGACATTAATCAACTTTCTTTAATAGTTACAGAGGTAAGGGTACATTTATCAACATACTTCTAAAATAGTATTTATTCAACACAAGGAGAATAAAATCTCATTCTTATTGTTTTCTCCGAAGCAAGAACTATGTATTCCGGAAAGCCACCTTTGAAACAATCACCAAGTTTAGAATCCAAAAGTAATAGTCAAGCATGTAACCAAGACACAAAAATTCAAACCCTTTTGAGAAACTCCATAATATAAGTGCCGAAAGCACAACACTTTACTTGGAAACCTTGAAATCCTGCACCCCTTGCCAAGCCCTCAAATTCCTTCTCAGTCCTCTCTTTTCCGCCCGGATTGTGAGCCAACTGATACAATCAATATGGACGACCAACTTTGTGGCAAGGCTAGGATCAGGGTAATCTGGAAGAATGCATTCGGTAACAATCACTTTTCCATTGTTTGGCAAAGCATCATAGCACTTCTTCAAAAATTTCGAGCAGTGTTCATCACTCCAATCGTCACATATCCACTGCACGAGCACAAATCATGGTTGATCAGGGTAATAAAATTCTTAATACATTTTTTCATCACGGTTAGTACACGGGTCAAAAGTGAAAATTTTCTAATAAACAGGTTGCACACGGTTGTACTCTGCCTACTAGAAAAGAAAGTTTAGGAATTAATTTGTGGGATTTTGTTCTAAGAACTTGTTTATAGATTTCCAGATTCTTTTTGCCAACCCCTACTAGATGAACAGGGAATGGGACAAAGAAAAATCTTAAGAGGTGAATGAAACACTCCCTAAAGTTGAATCAGAGGGGAAGAAGTTGAGAGATAGTGGTGCATTCCAAATGTCATCAATTAGCTCCATTATTTCTCAGATTGTGGACTCTTAACTAAATAACAAGCCACGTAATGGGGTAGGTCAAACAGAGTTTAATTTTCATGATTGAAACTCACCTTCATGAAAATGGCGTCTCCTTTTGGAACACTTACAAACATGTCTCCACCAACATGCTCCACACCTACAGCCAAAACACAGTCCAATTTCATTTCAAAATCATGATAAGAAACAATGCAGTTTTGATCACACATTGAGGAAATCAAGAAATTCATTCTATGAATATATAAATATCAGCCCACAATCTGCAATGAATGGTCAATAATTAACGGCTTACACACATTTAGCGATTCAGTTTCAAAGTGACTTCTTCAGAAATATTTAAACACCAGGATTAGTTGTTGAAAGACTAATGAAGCATGGATAATGTCATACCAGGACGAGATGGAGCATCCTCAATGACATGAGGCAAATCAAGGTTAATGCCCTTTATGGAGGGGTACTTGGAGACGATCATGTTAAGCGTGGCTCCAGGACCACCGCCAACATCAACCAGTGTTTTGAGTCCCTCAAAGCCATCGTAGGTCTCAAGAATCTTCTTCATGGTAATGGTAGAGTAATCAGACTTTCCCCTGTTGAAAACCTTGTTGAATCTAGGATCTCTGCAATGGTAGTCAAATGCGGTCATACCATAGGCCTCGTTGAAGGGAATTCCATAGGCTTTTTTGAAGGGAATTCCACCTTCCAGCACTGCATCTTTCAAATAGTACCTGCAAACAGTCCAACATGCATAGTTCTCAGTCCAATCACATTAGTTTACTTCAGGGCCATGATAACTTCATTGTTTGAAATGTTTTAACTTTTATCATTCCTATAGCAGTAAGGTTTTGGTACATCATTTGAACTATCCATTCGCATGCAAAAATACCTTAAACATTCAGCATCATTTTCAAGTCCCCTAAATTAGGAAGGGTCAAAAAGCGGCATAAATTATTTAGACTGTTTTGAAAATTGTGGAACAGAGAACTGGTTCCCTATCGAAGGGTAGTCAATAATCATTTCTGGTTTGAGTTGAAACTAAACCGTCCTTCCAACTCACTGCTTCAACAGGGTATTCTACTTTAATCATAAACTCATGATTATTTGTCGAGTGCATCTTAAATCTTATATTCTATAATAGTCAATTCATAATGATTAATGAGTTGTTTAATTAATGACTTGCATTGGAAAACTACTTCTTTATAAAAATTTAATAATGTTTTCTTTTTCCACCACCAGATGTACGTTGAATACTTGTTTTAACTTAAGTTTGACGTGGTTGATCGAGATAAAGAAAAAAAAGGTAAAAAAAGAAACTAGAACTCAATCATTCACATTTTTTCCATATGGAGGGTGAACAAACCCATTTGTCCAAGAATTAAGATGATGAAAATTCGAATATATATTCTCCTCTTAAATCTTAATTAACAGTAGCATCGTTTTCTATCGGTATATTTAAATCTAAACAAATGTTGGGTGTTACGTATGCCTTGAGAGTGCCACTTGTGACATTTTTAAGAGAAGAGGGACTCAAAGAGATAGAACCCAGATAAACAAAGGTGGACCATCCTCAATGAATGAGGACCCTAATCAAATGTTGGGTGTTAGGTATGCCTTGAGAGTCCCACTTGCAACATTTTTAAGAGAAGTGGGGCTCAAAGAGATAGAAGCCAGACAGACAAAGGTGGACCATCCTGAATGAATGAGCACCCTTACTTTTTCTTTTGCTAAATGGATGAACACCCGGACTTAGAAGCAATGAGCTGGGATTCAAACATCTCTACCCTAATGTTACTGTAACCGTTTTTTTTCTTCTTCATGTAGTTGACCTCCGTAAGTTTCACACGGTTGGATAAAATCTCCTTTTAATATTAAATACTTCTTTCCTACTATGGTAAAAGTAATAGTGTGGCAAGTTTAAAGTCATAATCAGATAGAAAAAGAGATTAAGCTTTCTTATTGGGGAGTAAAAGTATTAAAGAAGTGTTGGAGATTGAAAAGATTGTAACAGTGTAAGGGAAAAAAAAAGAACTCAAGTTAAAAAGAAAGAATTAAATTGAGGTTTAGCTACTTACCAGTTCTCCATAAATACCTAGTCTTGATTCATGAGACTTAGGGCGGAAAGAGTGACACCATCCTCATTCTTGGTCAGGAATTTGCAGACAGGACCAAGACCGTAGAGTCTCTCCACTTTGCCATCAGGAAGATTGCGCAAGGAACAAGTGAGGATGGAGTAACTAGCCAGGAGGCGGAAGATGCGGTCTAGCATGACAGGTGCATCATGGTTCTTGGTGGGGAGCTCGGAAGCCACATCTTTTGGGGACAGGAAAGCACCTGGACCAGCTTTGGCCATGATCTCAAGCAGGTCAAGTTCTATGGCCGACTTGAAGACCATGGGTAGAACCAAGGCACTGGCCAGTTGCATGGCGAATAAGTTTGCTTCCTCATCGGATACTTGGGTGGAAGTCATTTGAGTTTCACCTGTCGAACCCATTGTTCTATTTTCTTTGATTGGGATATTTGAGTTTGGAAAACGTGAGACGCTGAAAAAAGAAGCAAACACCGGGCAGTTTGAAGATATGGGCATGACAAAGAGCACGAACTGGAGTTATTGTAGACACCAGTTTTTGGGACATGAAATCAATTTCTCAACGGTTAATTTCATAGGGATTATCGGGCTTTGAAAGTGTTCGTATTTGGGTTTTGAGCTCAATAATTATTAATTGAATGCTGAGTTTTGGGCTCAATGAATTATTATTATTATTATTATTCATTTTTAATTTTATTCTTAAATTTTATTTTTATTTTATCTTTTATTTTTATGAAAACTGAAAAAAAAAAAAGTAAATAGACAATTTTGTTTTGAGATTTCAAGCGGGAATCAGGTAAAATATTTTTCAAAAGGATTTAATGTATAAATTAAAAACTAAAATCATGCAGTAATGAACCATAATCAACCGTAATAAAATCTTAATATTTTAGTTTGGATTAATTATGTTTAAATCTTAAAATTACTATTAAAATAGATTATAAATTGAATGCTAAATCACACCAAAAAAGTGGAGAGAGGATTTTGGGTTTTTCTGCTGTTAAAACGAATTTGTTTTATTTAGTAGGATTAGTTAATCTTTTGGAGGTTTGATGAAAAATGAAATGGTTTGGAATCTTTTGAAAAATCTGAAAAAAGTGAATTTATGGGAAAATCTAAAAAAAATTAGGTTTTTGGTTGAATGTTTGAATTTATCGGTTGAATTTTTTAATAAAAATTGAATTTTTCAATCAAAATTAAATTTTTCGATCAAATTTTGGTGAATTTTTTAAAAATCGACAGTTAAGCTGAGTTTTCAATGATTAGATTTGGGTATTTTAAAAAAAAAAAGTGAAAGTAAAATAAGCTAGAGAGAGAAAGAGGGTCTGAAGCAAATTGGAGCAAAACTTAGAAATTAGGTTTCTATATTCATCCAAAATGACATCGATTTAAAAAAGCTTTAACTCGTGTTCGACTTGTGGAGATCCGTGCATGACCCACTTCCAAGTTTGACTCGTTTTACAAGTTTTTCTTTTTTTTTTTCATTTTTTTTTTGTTTACATTTTCATTTATTTTACTTTTTTAGAATTTTCTTTTATTATTATCATTATTTTTATTATTTTTTTACTTTATTTATTTTTTAAATACCTTCATGAATTTCATTTTATTTAAAAAAAATAAAGAATATTTTTAAAATAAATTCATAAAATTCTATCAAATTATTGAAAATTTTTCATGAATTTAAATTTTTTATGAATTCTATCAAACTATTGAAAAACTTCATAAATCAATTGTTATTAGAAAAAAAATTATTACTAATAAAATATTTTGTTTTAATCCTACTAAATTATGAGAGGATTTGTATCTTAGATTAAGTTTTACCAAACAATTGAAAGAATTAATACAATTTCTAAAAAATAAATTTACAAAGAAATCTCATCAGATTATTGAGAGATCTACATCAAAGTAAATCTTACCAAACTATTGAAAGATTTTTCTAATTATTCTCTTAAATAAAATATATTAATAAACCTGACGATGAAGCTTATTCAGAGTGGAATACTAGGTTTCATGAATACTTCTGAAATGAGAAATTTATCTTAAATTACTACTAAACTATTGAAGAAAATTTAGGATTAGTTTCAAATAATTAAATGATTTAGTAAAATTATAAGAATATTTTAAGGCTTGGATAATTTGAAATCAAATTAGTACCATCATTTGGATAGACGCTATGAGGGTATTATAACCATATGCATAACTACACTCATGAACCTAAAATCTAATTTTGTTGGCTAGAATCTATTATTTAAATGTACTTAAGTGAATCTTGGAACTCTTCTTTAAATGTGACATATTTTATGAGGTGACAAATCAAACTTAAACAAAAAATATTATTGACGACTCTTTTAATCTATATCTAGCGTTGGGTCTATGAATCTATATATTATAATAGTTTGATGACTCCACTGAAAATGTAAGAGAGTCAAGCCAATAAATGATTTCTTGTTATCCAAGCATGACCTAATAAATTGAAATTTTGTCTTTCTTTTTCCTTGTTTGTATTTTGTTTATTTATTTATTTATTCATTTTAATATATCTATAATTTATTTACATATATATAACATGAGCTTTACATCCAAGTTTTATCTTTTATGAGAGAGTAAAACACATATGCCTTCATGAAATTTTATGTCTCCGCATGGGTTAGCAAAATACTCCCACTCAAATTAAACTCTTTTCGCTTATAGTCTATAATGGACAAGAATTAAGATGCTTTACTAGTCTGTGATTGATGATGATGTAAAAAATAATTTAAAACTTTTTAGAAATGACCCAAGCTACAAATAGTTAACCTTATAAGCTTAACACATAAGTAGACTTAAGGAAAGCTTAGAAATTAGGCTTTTATACCCATTTAGAAATATGCCATTTTGAAAATACTTTAACCCACGTTCGACCCATAGAGATTCATGTATGACTCGCTTTCAAGTTTGACCTGTTTCGTAGATTTTTTTTTACATTTATTATTATTATTATTTTACTTTATTTATTTTTTAAATATCTTCATGAATTTCATTTTATTTAAAAAAAAACCAAAGAATGTTTTAAAATAAATTCATGAATTCTATCAAACTATTGAAGGTTTTTCATAAATTTAAATTTTTTATGAATTCTATCAAACTATTGAGAACTTCATAAATCAATTGTTATTAGAAAAAAATTATTACTAATAAAATTTTTACTTTAATTCTACCAAACTATTGGATGATTAGCATTTTAGATTAAATCTTATTAAACTATTAGAATATTTAATACATTTTAAAAAAATAAATTATAATAAAATCTCATCAAACTATTGAAAAACCTATATTAAAGTAAATTTTGCTAAATTATTGAAAGATTTTATTAATTATTTTTTTAAATAAAATATATTAATGAACCCGATGACGGAGCCTCTTTAGAGTAGGAAACTATCTCCTGAATGCTTATGAGATGAAAAAATTATCTTAAATTGCTATCATACTATTGTAGCAAAATTAGAATTAGTTTTCAATAATTAAATGATTTGGTAAAATTATAAGAATATTTTAAAGCTTAAATAATTTGAAATCAAATTGGTATCATCCTTCAGATGAGTACTATAAAAATGTTATAACCTTCCTCATGTATAACTACATTCTCAAACTTAAAATCTACTATTTAAAGATACATAAATTAATATTAAAACTATTCTTTAAATGTGATAGATTTTATTAAATAACAATCATATTTAAATAAAAAAATTAATGATAATTCTTTTAATTTATATCTAACATTAAATTCATAAATCTATATGTTAGGACAATTATATGAAATGAGTAAATGACCCCATACCACAGTACATCCCACCCTCTCTCCTAGCTTTATGAAAACCGCTTTCCACCAATAATTTTTGTTTTTTTTTCTTTGATAGGGTATAAGTATGTATTCAATGCTAATTTCCCATTTCAAAGCACCCATGATCTTCAGAAAATCTATGAAACTCCTATAATACACAACTATATTATCTATAATTGTTTAATATAATTAATTATAATTAAATAATATAAATTTATAAAAAATTAATGTAGAACTTATATTTTAAAATGATAAATTTTTATATTATTTTATATTATAATTAATTAATTACAAAATTATAATAAAAATTTTTACGAGTAAAATGCTTCCTATAATATAATACTAAGTTTTTTAGGGGAATCAATCATAGGGGGATATTAATTTCAATAATAATTTATAGGGTGAAATTTGATGGATGCTAGTCAAAGCTGGGAAGTGCATAGCCATACATGAAGATTAAAATGAATATATATCTACTCTATAGGTCATGATTGAGATCTAACTCCTTTTAGAAGCAATCTGGAAATAATGGTATAAATATATTTTGTTGATGTTAGTCCCTTGAGACCCATATTTTTTCTGAGAAAAAACGTGGACATGAAGAGCATTGAGGAGACAGAGGATTGCTTTATTCTTGATTTGAACCCTTTTGATTCTATTGACATTGCCAAGCTCTCCATCACCATCACCAATGACGACGATGATGTTGATCTCTCTGTCCTCGCTGAGAAGGGCCAGGTTTTTCTTTATTTCTTTTGTTATATATATATATATATATATATATATTTATATATATCTGTTGTTCTTTAAACGCAACTCTTGCAAACATGCTTTGAGTTGCTAAGGAAATTTGCACTTATTATAGAGTAAAATGGGTGTGTGGCTTGATGATGGTTAGGTGGCTTGTAGAGATTATCCACATTCAAGGCATCTTTGTCTGCAATTTCCCTTTGATACTACACCTCATGATAGACATTGTGACCTGGTAGGTAAAAACACTCTTTTACCTTTTAATGTTGGGCTAACTTGTTTATGGAGCATTGTCATTTAGTTTAATAATTCTAATAATTTGGTTTATTCGATGCAGTTTTAATGTTATGTTTGTGATTCAGCTATTCCATGTGAGTATTGGATGGCACATTGTCATGCTTCAGAGCATTGTGAGGAATGGAAGTCTCAAAGGCATGTGTCTGTGAGGATACGGAAAGCTGGGCCTCGGAAATTATGAATAAGCTCCTCCATCAATTCTATGCCTGGGTTCCTTCAACATACAGCCTTCTGCTAATGTTATGTTGCAGTTCATGCTACATACCGGAAGAAAAGTGAATTGTTTTGCCATCACTTGGTCAAACTCATTCTCGGAGTTTGGTATGGACGCTAGAAATAGGCTTCTAAACTGTCATGAAAGCCAATGTCTAAACTCTAAACATGTGTACTAGTTTAGGTGCGTGGTTTAACATGTTGTATTTTGTAAGGGCAGATAGAATCATTGTGGTCTTAGAGCAAAGGCTGCATTAAGCTTGAAAGCAGGTTCTGTCTGCCTGGGTTTATTTTCTGCTATATGCATACGAAACCAGGGAAATGTCGAAAGAAGTTGATTGAATTATGCCTATCGACCAAGAGGTCTGGTTACACTTCTACAGAAGTTCTTTCCGAAGAGATCCTTTCAAATTAAAAACCAGGTGTTATATATTCTTGAACACTTTGACAGGCAGTTGGCAAATGCTAGATTTAATGTTTTCTCTCTTGGGGAAATTCTTTGTCCCTTTGAAGTTTGGAGCAATTCAAGTGGAAAGGACACGATAACCAATGCCCTCGAGATGATGTAGCACCATTACTCTAGACTCCTAACATGGTGCTCCATCTTTACAAGAGGTCATTTTAGTTCATAGTCCTCTCTCTTTCTTATGGCTAAAGAAGTATAACGATGGACTGACTAATCATTATTGAATCATTTAGTACGAGATTTGATCCATCCTCTTATATTCTTTTATTTATCCGATTAACTCCACAAACTGAAATAGCTAAAATTGTTAGATTTAACAATGCTATGATATAAAAACATAACATAAAAACAATATTAAAAAATATAAAAATGATATGATTTAAAATTTTAACAAATATTATTTATGAATTTGATAAAAATAAAAAATATATTTTATGTTTAATATGTCAACATAAATTATAATATATTAATTTTTATATTATATATATATTTGATACAAAATAATTATCACATAAATGCACAAATAGCCACATCAATTGTCACTGTCCGAACTACAAAGGCATTTCCAAGAGGAGGCCTGAGGCTTGATATTTTATTGTGGGTTGGGCCTCAGACGTCATATGTAGCAAAGGGTCCCTAAAACTGGCCTGAAGGGAAGCCCAATAAAGGAGAAGCCCTTATCATAAGAAATAAATCCCCACAGAAGGTTAAAGCCGCTGCCCTCTGGAGTGTAGACGCTCCCGAGTCTCAGATAATTATTTTCTAAACCCTATCTAACGAAAATAAGCATGTCGCCAGCTCCTGTGGTTGAAGCCGCTCAGCCTCAGACTGAGCAGGTTCCTTCTATTGAGGAACCCAAGAAGCAGCCTCAGGTTCCCCCTCTTCATTTCACTTCTTTTATTCTTTTTCTTTTTAAAGAAAAACGTGTTAGCATGGTAGCATTTGCAGAGCGAGGAGGAGGCTGTGGTTGAGGACGTCAAGGAAGATGAGAAAGAAGATGACGAGGACGATGAGGATGAGGATGATGATGAGGATGATGATAAGGAAGATGGTGCCCAAGGTTTCTCTCTTTTATTTTTCTTTTCCCCACTTAACTCGTTAATTGATTCTCTTCGTTTTTCTTTTCTTTTCTTTGGTTCGATCGTATAGTTGATTTCAAAACACTTTTTGGTTTTTTACTTTTTTCCTCAAAATTGCATGGATAAAAGTCTCTGTAATTGCATTTTCTCCAACTTTTCTTTATCTTGGAAACTGCAAATTTGTAATATTTTTTGATCTGTTGGTTTCTGCTTACTGGCTCCCAACTACCACATCCTCTAGAATTGGATTTCATTGTAGGATCTCCTGCATAGTTTGCCACTCAGAGTCCTTAGAATTAGAAGAAGTCTTCTGGTTCATGCAACATTGTTAGCTTTGAGTAGCTGAAATCACTTGTTAGCATGCAATTACTTGCAATGTACTATTTTGTAGATATCTGATTTGGTAGTTACTTTGAATGTCAGCATTTCTGTGTTTGATGGTGTTATATCTTTGGCTATTAGGCTACATGTACTTGGTGCTATTTCTGAAATTTTTAGCTAATTGTCTTATCCAAAGTTAATTGTGTGCAAATTTCTACAAATCCCTTATAGTTTACTTGGAATATTGGTTGCAGGTGCTAATGGAAGTTCAAAACAAAGCAGAAGTGAAAAGAAGAGTCGGAAGGCGATGTTGAAGCTGGGCATGAAACCTGTTAGTGGTGTAAGCAGGGTCACCATAAAGAGAACCAAGAATGTATGAATTGTCTGATTTTCTTTTCAACCTGTTGAGCTACCTGATGAATGGTAATATAACCGAGTTTCTCTTGGATTCAGGTACTATTTTTCATCTCAAAACCTGATGTCTTCAAGAGCCCAAATTCTGAGACCTATGTCATTTTTGGTGAGGCTAAGATAGAGGATTTGAGCTCTCAGCTACAGACACAAGCTGCCCAGCAGTTCAGGATGCCAGACATGGGATCTATGATGGCAAAGTCAGACACCTCTGCTGCAGCTGCTGGAGCACCAGCTGATGAGGAAGAGGAAGAAATTGATGAGACTGGGGTAGAGCCTAGGGACATTGACTTGGTCATGACACAGGCTGGAGTATCGAGGAGCAAAGCTGTCAAGGCTCTCAAAACTCACGGTGGGGACATTGTTAGTGCTATTATGGAGCTTACCACTTAGGTGGTCACTGTTGCCTTATCTTGCGCTCTCGCATTCTGTCAATGAGTTCTTGGAACTATTATCAACATTATAGTTGCTGCAGTTGAGCTAGCTTACCATCTATCGGGTGGCTAGATTATCCTTATATTTTTATCAAAATTTAGACAATTTTCTCACAACTCATTATCAGCGTACCTGTGACTGATTGCTGGAATTTATGCAACTTATAGCAGTTCAGGATACCCTTTTCTATAGAAATGGTTTTATTGTAAAACTTTAGAGGAGCTCAAAAGCACCAATAATTCCGAATTAGTCGAAAGAATTTCAGGTGGTAAAATAGATTCTTACCAAAATAGTAATAATTAGTATTCTCAAAGGAATCCTCTTAAGTGAACTAATCCAATGTTGTCTATGAAAAGTTCATGCAGGTTCAATTGATGCCTCCTTAAGGAAAAATTCAGTTCAATAAAGGAAATGTTACGAGATACCTTGTATGGTTGGATTTCCACTTGATATTGAATGCAAGAAAATCCAATAAAAGCTGTTATTCTATTAGTACATATCTTCTTTATAGCTTTCGGATGTGCATACGTAAGAAATGATCAGATGAAATGGTAATTTATTATTTGATATTAAGAAACTCTTGCTTGAGTATGCAGAGTTTGCAGTTCTAATATTTGCGTGTCTAGTGTAAAAGCCTTGTAAATCAAAGAAAGGATCAAATTTCCAAAGGTTCTAAGTTTCACTACATTTTTTCAATTAACTTAAAATGTTAGTGTTAGATAGATGCATCAAATATGGGATTTTCTGAATCCGAAAGTCATTATCATGAACGGTGGACAATGCACGCATCCATGTATATCCAGAACAGCGAGAAGAACTGAGAGGGTTACCCAAATCAAACAAGAAAAGAAAGATACATAAGAAGGTTTATTCAAAATAAGTTTTAGCAGTTTTTTACAAGGCTGAAGAGCAGTCATGTTCTGAGCAACTCACAGTAGTGTTCCACATACTTTATACAGATATTCAAGGGAAACGAGATATTATTCACCATAGGATAATAGCATCGACCAAATTCAGTCAACTGTTCTGTCCTGAAAGCTCCTCTTTCAACACATGTTCCCAGTCAGAAGAACAGCTGTCATAGCAACCTGCAGAGAGTTGATCAAGCCTGGTGCCACCAGGAGACTGCATCGTGGAGTCATGCACGACACACAGATGAAAATCCTTCACAACTAACTGTTGTCCATCATGGTTGGCCACTTGATGCAGTGAAACAGATTCCACATTAACACCTGAAATTCCATTCTCTGCTGCGTCTTTATCAATGGGTATTTTCTTTCTCTTTCCTGCAAATCCAAGATCAACAACCTCTGGTGGTTGTTTTCTTTCCATTTCAATGGAATCCAAATCATCAATGCCTCGATTTTTCAGGATATGGAACCTAGCCATGACAGAGGTTTCAACATCAACTGTATGACAGGCTGTTCCTAGTACAGGGGAGTCTTGGGATGGCAGGCCTGGGATTGAGCTATCCTTTACTTCAGTTGCCAATTCATCAACCTCATCCAAATCCAAAGAAACCTTTGAGCTGCAGAGTTCATCCACATCTCTACTATGAACAGAATTTGAATTGTTAAGCCGGTGCTTTAGTACATGAAATCTGGCTGTGACATCATCAACATGGTTACTGGAGCTTTTGACAGGAGAATTTTGGTTAGAAACAGCAGGGGTTGGTCCACTCTCAGCTACTGCTGTTAATTTCTTATTGGTGTTCACTTCAGCAGACAATTTAGGTCTTGATATTTTGTCCTCATTTGGTGTGCCTTCTAACAAATCTAAAGCAAAACAACACGTCCTTTAATCAGATAGCCAAAATGAAAGAGTCAAGGATTTTTAGCAGAAATTTCTAAAGCTTCTATTATGAACAAGACATGATCCAAGGAGTGTACAGAAAATTTTTAACCTTTTTCTGAGTCCAATTTGCATTTTTCCATTTCAATCTTCATGTTATTAAAGCGAGCCATGTAATTGATAGAACATAAAGCAGCTTCTGCCTCAAGCCATAGATTCTTATACAAGAGAACTTGTGGGTGTGCCTCTTCCTTCTCGTGAAAATTCTCAATGAGAACCGTCTTTATAGCCTGCAACTCATCGACCAAGAGAGAGAATATAAGTGTGCTTTCAATTTTCATCTCTACCCCAGAAAGAAGACAAAATGATGAAACATTATCTATCACAGTACAGATAAAAAATTAAATAAGCAAATACCTGGGTCATCTTATCATTTTTTACTTTTAAGTCTGTGCCACTGTTGACGAAATCAGAATATATCTCATCTTTCTTACCAGAATGCTTCCTTTTCTCCTGTACATGCTGGCTCAGAACATCAATAGCTTCCACCTCGGCCCTTCCCATGCTTGTGCCCTGAGAAGAAGATTTACAGCTCAGTAATCAACCGAAAAAGCATTTCATGAAAGAATTCAGAAGAAATATGCATAATAGCAATGAGAAACACAATTTAGCATTTCAAATTTCCTACAGTTAATTACACATCAATTAGACAAGACAAAGAAAATAAAAACAGGGAAGCATACCTCAGGAAGCTCACTCAAAAATGATTCTTGTCCAATATTTTTTGACATGCATGTATTAATGTTGTTGATTACTTTCTCAAGGGACTTGAGATCTTGTTCCTTTAATTCACACATCTCACTGCAGCAGTGATATAGAAGCAAGTCTGACAGGTTATGCATTGCATCTACTAGAACACTGATGCTGCTATTTGAAACTGGTTCTTTGCCAAAGAATTTAGAATACCTAGCCGAAACATCTTCTACAGAGGATGGCGAACATGAGAGATCTTTTACCACATGGCATGACATATTTGATGAACCACAGCCTGCAGAGACATCATTTATCTTCTCGAGATCTGCGACACCAGTCTCAGATGTATGCAAATTTTTAGAAGCCAATCTACCTTCGGCAAGACTTTGTTGAATGGAGAAAGATGCCTTCTCAACCTCATTCATTGAATGGTTGAATAAGACATAATCTTTCTTCCGTTCACTTGCATCATCAGAGAATTTGATCTCACAGGCAGGACTTGTTTTTTTGTTATAGGATCCTGCTTTCGTAGCATCATCAGGTTGATGTATTATAAATGACGGGATAGAGACTGAAGACAATTTCAGGGAAGAGACTGAACCATCTTCCACATCCCCATTTTCATCAGTCATCAAAATTTCACCTGGTTTTCCTGAAGGAAGTTTAACCACGTTAGCAGTATGCCCAGGGATAAATTTAAGTGCTTGACCATTTGAAACATCACATGCTTCAATTTTCTTTACAACCTGCACAGCAACAGTCTCAGAAGATCCAAATGGGGAGTTATTAGAAGCTGGAGCTCCTTTCCAGCAAGGTGAGTCAACAGGAGGGTTGTAATGATCTAAACTCTCTAAAGTATTCTCCACAGCAATGACTGTTTCATTATTATCAAGAGCCAAACTGAAATTATTTGGATTCATATGAGAAAAATTAACTCCAGATTTTTCTCTGAACAAATTATCAGAGGCATCATTAGAGGCCATATTTGTTGCTGACTTTTTTTCAGTCCTTGTTGAAAATGATTCACCAGACAAATAACAATTTCCATGAAGGTGAAAGCTGAGTAGACTAGGGTCAAACTTATTTTTTCTACCAAAGTTCAAATAATGAGGTTCCTTCACATTAGACGGATTGATCCCAGTCAAATTTATATCAGTTCCATTGATGCCAGCTGAAGGTCTAATAACAATCCCAGGTGAAGATTTCATGGCAGGTATACTATCACTTGGTGTACTACCATGCTCTCTCACAGGTTTCTCATATGGAGTGCTGAATGTGACTTGATTGTTCTTGAAATTTACTAGATTTAAGGGAGGTACCTGCAGATTGGTTTCAGGAAGTGCTGAACTGGACCCAATAACTGATGTCTTCAAGTAATCCACAGGCATGAATGAGAGATTTTGCCCCAGGACATTGTTGTTATCTAGCTTTTCTATACTAGTAGGCCCCACTTGCTTTTCCCTGCCTAATGAATAAATATTATGTGAAGTTTCTTCAGATATCTTTAGGCTTTTGGAGGGAAGAGATCCTGCAACTAGAGACAAAAAAAGAAAAATGGGTTACATAACATCCCACCTGACCTTTCTTTATCATTATCCTCTAGTTCCCTCTTTCCCTCATACTGCTCTTCCCAAAAAATGACTTTGACAACCCAAAGTATGTAGGGATAGAAACTGATGTCGAGTAAAGAAAGAGTGAAGAAGCATTTTCCTACAATTTTTGTGACATAGCAAAATGATAACAGGAATCAAATTTGCAACCCAGCAAAGTGGTTAGCACTCCTTTTTTTTTACTAATAGTGCAGTGTGAGAGAATAAAGACATTACAAATTTTTGAATGCATAAGTCTTAGGTTCTCGGGAAAAATGACTGAGTTAGCCATCCAAGCTTTCAAGTGCATGTAAGAGGATGATCAATAAAAATAACGAACAATATATGAATGAAAGGAAATTGAACAGTCATGCCAGCCGACAGAACCCTATATCTAACATATTAATATATTTAAGTTTTAACAACAAGAAGGCATAATTCCAGCGTCTCACTTAGACGATGGCCTCGGCGAACTTATAAATGCGCAAGTAATCGTTAACTCATAAAAATTGCGGACAAGATATGACCAGTCACCAAGTGCTTAAAGCGGGGAGGGGGCGGAGGGAATACCTGATTGATTTTTTTTTTTCATACGCACACAGTTCATTTGATCACTGAAATTTTGCACTAGACAAGACAAAAAAGTAAACTAATGGAAATGCAAGAACCATGTAGAGAGCATAGACAAATATAATGGGAACAAATGTAAAGCGTCAGAAAGCATAGGAAAACAGGAAAACTTACCCAGGTTGATATGATCCGTGTAAATGGAAGGAGGAGCCATGTTTGTCTCCTTTGAATAAAAACTCCCATCAAGCTGAGCCGGCTTCCCTTTCTCCCGATCCCACAAGCCACCACCCCATTGAGCCGTATGGTCGAGGCCAGACAAGCTCTGCTCATTGAAAGTTGGCACATGAAGGGGAGGTGAGACATAGGAAGGGTAATAGGTTTTGGGTTCAAAAAGATCCACATTTTGGTTATAGGAAGGAGTGGTAATTGGGTCCAAATCCAACTGAGGGAGTTGAGCAGGTTGGGGTGAACTAAAAGTGTATGGATTAGTATCAAGCCAATTCAAGGGTTCACCCAAATCAACAAGTGGGGTAGCTGCAGGTTTTGGGATGGATCGGTCGACGGTGAAAGGAGGAGCTAAAGCTGATAAATTTGAAGATCCTCCTCCATGACCGTTCCCACCATAAGACCCATATCCTATCATCGTTTTTTATGCCAGAAACTCAAAACTTAGTGCACCTAATCGAAAACCCAGAACACAAAAACTTCAACTTTTGCAAGAACCGACACCAGCTTTTTCAGTTTTCAGACAAAGCACAATTTTGGCATCAAACTTTGCATGAATAAGAGAAGAATTGAAGGCAAAGACCCAATTTTTAGAAGTGAGAATTAATTGGCATCAGCATCCTCTCAGTACCTCACTTTGAGCGTTGAAAGTAGAGAGTCAGGTGTTGCAAGAGTCTTTCTTTTTTGGGACTATTGTATCTAATCCTTCAAGTTTACATTAATTTTTAAATAGCCCCTAAAGTTTTACAAAATGATTTCTGAATCCTTTTCTACTTTTTGATTTCTGATTTATTAATGACGGAAATTTATTGCCAATCACATTGTGATCAAAGTCAAAACTTTAAAAGGAATAAACATAGTAGGTACCAGTGATAGATTATACTCTTTTCGCCATTATTGTGCATTGATTTTCATAAAATTGAAAAATAAATTTTAATATATTTAATATTAAAATTTAATTTTTTTATAAAATTAAAATTTTATAATTTTTAATGTTAAAAATAAAAAAATCATAAAAAATAATTTTTAAATATAAAAATGTAACAATTTTAGATGTTAAAAAAATAATTTTAAGATATTCAAAAAAATAAAAAAATATAAAACAAAGAGAATATGAGGGAAAAGTTTTTGATTATTTATCCTTAATTGAATGTTAGCAATCTCATTAAAAAGATTATATGAAATATTGATAAAATATTAAAATTTTAATTTTATAATTAAAATTTAAATTACAACAATTTTATAATTTCAAAATACCTTAACGTTCTGCTCAAGTAAGTCTTTTCGAATTAAGAAAGGGGCAAATTGACCTCCAATCTCAATGGTATTTTGATCATTTTCTTAAAGGTTACGCAGTATTATTTCAAATCACTTCAAAACATCTTTTTATCCAAGCATTTGGATTCCAATTGAATTTCCTTAAGATTACCTTATCAAAGTTAAAACACTTCAAATTGGTCCTTAAAACTCCAACAGATTTTGGGCCTGAAGTTCCATTGGGTTTATGCTCTTCTTCTTTGACAAATTAATATTCATCCAAGCTATCAAATAGGAATTTTTTTATCTCAACCTCTTGTGTGAAATTTTTTTTAAGTTTTTAATATATTCTTAATTTTTTTATTTTATTATATATTTCATATTTAAACTTTTTCAAACCCATAATCTTCAAATACTTACTTTAATAACATACCGATTAATTCAAAAGATAATTTACTTATATGATTTACTTGTGGACACTTATCTTCCATGTGCATGCTAACAAAACCAATTCTGAACAACTCACGAGAAAGGCTTTTCAACCTTTGAAGCAAGTAAAGGATAAATTTTCCTTTTAGAGAACAATTTAGAGTGTAATCGAATCGAGTCGAGTCGATATAGTTTGAGTTCAGCTTTCAACTTGAGGTTCGATAGTTAGTTCGAGCTCATTCGAGTTTCATTTTTGTAGCTTAAGTTTGATTTGTGATTGAAATCAAATTATTTAAATTCACTTGATTAAGTTCAATTAATATGTTAAAATAAACATAATTTTTATACTCGATAAGAGTTCGATTATTTATGCTTGAGCTCAAACTCGAATTCGAGATATTTTATTGATTAAAATAATAAAAAAATTTAAATATAAAAGCTCGATTAGGCTCGCGAGCTATTCGAATTGGATATAACAATACTCGAATTCGATTTGATCGATAAATCATGATATTCGAACTCGAGCTCGACTCGATAATAATCTAATCGAATTCGAATTTTATTCGAATCAAATTTAAATAATTTATGAATACTAATATATCATTTATACCTTTAAAATAACTTACCTTTATTATTCATTTTAACCTTTAAGGATACAACTCCCTGAGGTGTTATCCTCGTATAGAATAAGGCAAACGACCAAACGAGCCAAAAGTCCAAAAATTCAATGCTGAAACACGGAATTCCAATTCCAAAATGTCTTTAATAAGCACAAAAAAAAAAAAAAGAGTTTACTGTTATCTTACTTAATGATGTGTTTGAATTCCACACGCATATATATTTCAATCAACTAATGTTAACCGTACCTTATCTTCGTTAGGATAAAGGGGCGATTATATTTTTTAGTCTTTTAGTTTCTACATTTATTTATGATGATGCGGCCTGGATTTATATGAGGATTAATTTGAGTGGCTTTAAAGTGGAGGTATTGGCACCATAAGTTCGGACCCCCTTTTCCTTTCCTTTACACCAATAAACATACTTTCCATCTTTCCAAAACACAATGCCTTGTGAACTTCCTACTAATTGAGAGCTTGATTGTGACACTTAAAGTTTGTTTAATAAGGTAATTAGAAAAAACAAATCGATTTGTTCAATTTATTATTATTTTTTTAGTATAGTTAATCTTAGATTAAAAAAAAAAAACCTATTTTGGAAATTGGAAATTTTGATATTTTAACTTTTGATTTCATTAATTATTTTGTTTTGTGCTATTTTTACTATTGATTTTGTCGGTAACTAATACAAGTTATATACACTCATTTAATATACACATTTCACATACTCACAAAAAATAAAAATTTTTAAATTTTACTATAATCCATAAAAATTATAATGCTTTTCACTTAAATACTTAAAATAACAAAATAAATATGTGTGCTCATCATTTTAATGCAATATTTTAATGTTTGTATCACTATCCTTTGACAAATTGGCAAAACACGCCCATAACTTTTCCAATTTTATACCTAACAATAAGACATAATTAATCAAGCAAAAAGCAATTTCCATGAGAAATTGAAAGAGTAGGTAATCATGAACCTGTAATTTATTTATGAGTATACAATTTCTAATTATTATATTATAATTAATTACTCATAATTTAGAATTGCATGAGATTTATCAAAATTTTATATGAAATTGACGTTTATAAGTGATAGATTTTTATATAATATTTTATTATAATAATATTATAATAAAAAAATTTAGGAGAAATGCTCTTAATTTATTTACAAATGGGAGGAGAAAACGTGATGTCAAATTTACAACCTTTCCTTGGTTTGGAAAACGTCAAGGAGTGCATGCATTTTCATGTCTTTTAACTTTTCCCTGAGGTGCTTAGATAATTAATTACTTATCTTTTAGAAAGAATAGGATCGAGCGAAGATCTTTTTCCAGGCCTTCCAGCTTAGAGAGCGAGCCTTCATTAGGGCTAAAGAAGGCTTGTTAGAGTGCACAGGAGGAATAGAAGGTGGTGGGGGCGATGGCGGTTGTGCCTCATCATCATCTTCCATTTCAATATTTTCTTCTGGCTTCCAAAAACGAGCTTCCTTTCTTTTGCTCCTCATGGTTGATAACACATCGTATTTGTTACATATTCCCCACACTGTTACCTTTTGTTGATTATAGTCCACTGTTACCGAGTATATTCCTGCCATAAACACCACAGAAAATTTCAATATTTTATCCCATAACTGCATGAAAGCGGCAACACGTTTAAATATCTTATGACCTAAGGCCTATGATTTAGGTTTTATTTAGGATTCCGATTAGAGGACTTTCACTGCATTGTAATGTGCATTTTTACTGTTGGATTTTTGGAAATCCTTTAATCGGATTTCCAAATGAACTATTAGTTAATTGTTGTTCAACAGGAAGTGGAGTGTGGGGGCTAATAATTTAATTTGGTCTTATTAAAACAAAGGAAATGTGCAGCTAGCAACTATAGCCTCAAGGAAAAAGGGAAAAAGGGAAGATGAAATTGAAAAAACAAGTGTACGATTACAAATATTTTTCTCCTTTTTCCTTTAATGGAACTATTCTATACATTTGCTAAAGGAGTGCATTGCTTCTTTGCTTTCCATTTACACACACTTGTGTTCTAGTTTCAGATTCAATGGACCAACAGGAGACATGATATAAATGTTGGTTCTTGGACAATTGTGGGTCCAACGAACAGCTTGGGCCAATAATCGAAGACTAGAAGTTTAGCTAGATACATTAAGTGCTAAGCTTTGAACGAGGACACTGGACCTGGAACAATGGCAGAAAACGTGGAGAAAACTTTGAAAGTAGGTTACAACAAACGCATGTTTATGTCACAAAATGGTTTTAATTTGTAAAGAGACACCAATTAATTAAGAGAGTAATTGGGGTTAATTACCTTTGAGATGGGACAAGGTCTTCTTCACTTTCCTCTCACACCCGTAAGAATACAAAGGCACCATCATCTCCACATACTGCGCCTCCACATTCTTGCAAGCTACAACTATTTGCCTGTTTGCCATTGTAGCTCCAACTTAAATTGAAACTAGATCTTTCTTCTTCCCGGTATTGGTATTTTCTTCTATACTACAACTAGGTTATCATTGAATCGAATTGATCATAAACGCCTTATATAAGAGATTAACAAGACAGGCTGATCCTCGATTCCCTGGAAAAGAAGGCCTGTGGTCTCTTTTTCCCCTTTTGCCTACACCTTTTCTTTCATCTAATTTTCTTCTTCTTGTTGTTGTTTTATGCTTTCATTGTTCATCAGGGTGGCTTGATCGGGAGGTCAATTTTGTTCTGTCAAAAGATACTTTTAATTAGGGAAATGAATTTCCTTTCTTCGGAAGGGGTGTCATGTTGACTTGGATAGGGTATAAGATGTGTCAGCATCTCTGTTTGTTTATCAAAAGTGCATTGAATCATCTCCTTTTCATCATGGGAATTGGATAACCTTACCTATACTTTGCCTTTCATGTGAATTGTTTTTTTTTTTTTTTCCTTATGAAAGAAGCTGCTTTCTCTTGGAAATTGGTATTTTGGAAACCAAGATAAAAGGGAAAAGAAACAAGAGATGATCCTTAATGCAGTTTGATTATATGTACCTGAAGTTATTATATTGTGAAACAATTTAAAGTGCGCAAGGCAACTTCTGATGTGCAGTCGTTGGTGTAGCCGCCATGCACATGCATGCGTATAATTTTGCTTAACTGCCTTTTCAGGTTATTTGTTCAACTACTGTCCCCTAATTTTTAGCTTTGATGATGGTCATTTTTTCATCAAATATCATTTCTAGCATAAATATATAGTACTCTGGTTTTATTCCTCTTCGAATGTTAAAATCACAAATACATATTCACTTCTTTCTTAATTAGAATCAATTGATCACTAGTGTCTAGTGGTCACGCAATCAAAAGTTAAAACCTCTAATTATGATTGGTAGGAAACAAATTTTCATGCCTGGTGGTGTTAGGGATATTTGATGATAAAAAAGATATAGTGGTCTTTTTTCTTTATGAAGCCTCTAATAGACAATAAAGAGTATTTTTGTTATTTGTGTCAACCTGATATATTAGGTCAACTTGACATGTTCAATGTCATATCAGCTCGATACTATTCTTATTATCCCCTAACGGTCCCCTATAGCTTACCTATAAATATGAAAGTTTAGGTGCCATTAAGAGAGGTACATTTTACTTCCTTTCTTCCTTTTTTACTTTCTTTTGGACCTGAATCTTTTTGACTTGCATGTTGGAGTGAAAACGTAGAAAACACACATTGCCTTTGCTTCTATCTGCCATTCTCTTTTACTTTTCTAGGAACATCTTAAGGTCGAAACTTGATACAAACATTTGGCGTGCCAAGTAAAGGGTATTTTCTTTCATTAGCCGAGTGTAAAACAATGCCACCAAGGAAGAGAACCTTAGAGGAAAAAGAGTCAACCATCCCGACTAGAACATAAACCTACCATAGTTAGCATTTCATTCGACCGGCCCAACCATAGGCAGGCCTGACCATGGAACAATTAGAAGCCCTGATCGAATAAATACAGATTCTCAAGCAAATGTTACAAACCATAATCACTATTGGCCGAAGAGTCGCTATCAGACAACAGAGTTTGAAAAAGGTGGAAGCCTTCTTAGCCTCCAGAAAAGAGGAGCACTCAACTCAGCCCATCATTACCCCAACCATAATTCAACACAAGCCACGACCTAAAAGTCCAAACAAACAAACAAACAAACTCCGAACTCTAATTGAACATAGATTTAGAAGCTCGAATATAGGTAATGAAAAAAAAACAAAAAATGAAAGTAGTAGCTTTTGAGGATGAGCTGAAGTTCTTAGAGACTTCATTCTTCACCGAAGAAATCAACAGAGCCTTGCCTTCCAAAGGGTTTAAAATGTCAACCTTGAAAACCTACAGCAGTACTTCTAACTCATTCGATCATTTGAAACTTTATTGAACTAATATAATAATGTAAGAGATAGATGAAGTTCTAATGTACAAAAGCCTAGCTACTACACTGAAGGGTGTAGCTCGATCCTGATATAGCAGCTTAGAACCAAGGTCAATCATTATGTTTAAGAAGCTCAGTCACTTTTTTTGTCCTAGTTTATTAGTAGTTGAAGAGCGAAAAAGATGACTCTAAGTTTGATGTCAATCTACCAAAGAAAGAATGAAACTTTGAAGAGCTATATCATGCATTTTAATGCAGAAGCTTTACAGGTTAAAGATATGGAACAGACGATCGCTATCACTGCCTTGACAAATGGACTCTATGATAAAAAGTACCACTTGAAGTTAAAAATATCGCTAGAACTACCTAAAACTCTGACCAACATCCTACTAATAGTAGAGAAGTATATAAATGCTGAATTTATAATGAAAACTAACCAAGGTAAGGAAGGCTCATCCCCTCTCCTCAATCGTAAAAAATATATTTCTATGATTCTTTCTAAAAAAAAAAAACAACATAAGGTTAGAATCCTAATGGAGAAAGAAGCTATACTACACTAAATATTTCTTAAGAGAGGATTCTGATACAAATTTAAAAATATTTTGACCTTAGATGGCCAAAGCCACTAAAATAGAATACTGTGAGGGATTCGAGTAAAAGATGTGCCTTTCATAGAGACATAGGTCAAATCTTAAAGATTGCATCGACCTGAAAAATGAGATTGATACCTCGATAAAAAGAGGTTAATTAAGGAAGTTTATAGAGCAGCGAAGACAAGGCCAGCTCAGAATAAATTATAGACAACATAAAAAAAGCCTACTAAGGGCAGAGAAAAAAAACTAAAAAAAAAAAAAAAAAGACCTAGAAGATGAGGCAAAGAAAGAAGAAGGTCAAACTGATACAATGGCTAATCCCTGAAGTAATTAATGTGATCACTTGAAGTAACTCTACTTCAGCTAAAAAGAAATCCAACCTAGGTATGATCATGGCAGTAGGCACTGCAGTAAAGAGAGAAAAAGATTAGAGAAATAAGTCGATTTCATTCAAATTAGAAGACTTTGAAGAAATCCAATAGCCCTACGACGATGCTATAGTGATTACGATCGTAGTGTACATCTATGTAGTTAAGAGAATCCTGTTTGAAATAAGAGCTCGATCGACGTCATGTACTACGACACCATGAAGAAGATGAGAATTGGTGAAGATTGGTTACAGCCAATCATAACAACATTAGGGGATTTAAGAATAAATAGGTGCCCATTGAAAGAATAATCAAACTACTAATCTATTTAGGGATAAAACCCAAAACAATCACTTTGGTCATAGAATTTATGCTGATAGATGTCCCGTCGGCATATAACATGATATTAGGCAGACTTAACCAGTCTGTTATGTGACTTATAAGCTCAACTTTCCATCTGAAAGTAAAATTTTTAACACTCAATGAGATTAGAAAGGTTAAAAAGACCAATCCATGGTACACCAGTGTTATGTCATAATAATGAAAGGAAAGATTGAAAAGCAAACTGACAGTTTGGCTAAGAATAAAACTTTAAAAAGGGGCAAACAAAAAAAGCTAACAAGAAACAAAAAGTTACAAGCAAGAACATAAAACGTAAAACACTTGATAGAAGCATTCTTAAGCTACTTCGAACTTTTAAGATCTAATAAAAAATTTTATTTTTAAAATTTTTTAAGGTAACCTCAAAAACGATCTAGCTTTTAAGCTACGTGAATAACCGTATGTCATTTGGCTCAAGCTAATACTCCAGTTAAAATACATTATGAAATGAAAAATACATACTAATTTCACTACATATATACTCAACAAGTTACCTATAATATATTGATCATCACATCAGGATCTGTTTTCATAGAAAATGGTCTCGACTTAATTGAATAAAAAGAGATAATTAATCAAAGGCTAGACTCGGATAAAAATCAACCTGAGCAAGCTGAAGATCCTGTAGCAGTTTCATTTTTGGATATCATCCTTGGAAAACATATGTAGATTAAATCTAAACTTCAACATAAAGATTAGTTAATTTAATTTTTAAGAAATAATATGAATCTGTTTACCTTAATACCATTCAATATGCCCAGGATTGATATCGATGTGATAGTTCATAAGTTGCACACTAATTCCAAGGTAAAATCAATTCAACAAAAGGAAAAAATCTTTGTCCCAAAAAGGTAAGAGGCTATCGAAGAGAAAGTTGATAAATTATTATGAGCAGCCTTCATCAGATATGTTTACTACTCTAAATGGATAGCCAACATGATCATGGTCAAAAAGCATAGTAAAAAATGAAATATGTGTATCGACATTACTAACTTGAACAAAGCTTGCCCAAAAGATAACTTTTCTTTCCATAGCATAGATCGATTGGTGGATGATAGTACCGAGCATGGCCTTCTCAGTTTTATGGATGTCTATTCCTATTATAATCAAATCAAAATGCTAGAGGACTATGAGAAAAAAAAAGCTTTTATTACTGAGAAATGCCTTTACTATTACAAGGTAATACCCTTCAAGTTGAAAAATGCAAGGTCGACCTACCAAAGGCTGATAAACAAGGTGTTTAAAAATCAAATCAGTTGCAATATGAAAGTATATATGGATAATATGATCGTCAAGAGCAAAAGTTTGATCAAACATCTAAAAGACCTTAAAAAGACTTTCATCACCTTGAGTAAATATAATATAAGGCTTAACCTGAACAAATATGCTTTTGAGAGTCACCTTAGGTAAGTTGCTCAGTTATATGATCAATAAAAATGGGATAAAAGTGAATCCAAAAAAAGTTTAGATAATTTTAAACATGAAAGCACCGACCTCAGTAAAAAAAGTACAGAGATTAACAAGCAAAATAGTTGCACTGTGCCGATTCATGTCTAAGTCAATAAAACTATATTTGCTATTTTTAAAAATTTTTAAAAATATTTTTAACTTTAGGTGGACTCTTTAGTGCCAAAAAAACTTTTAAAGGACTCAAAGTGTTTTTATCTTCTCTATCTATTTTGTCTAAACCAAGACCCGATAAGATCTTGTACCTATATATAGCTAGTATGGACTAGGCCATCAGCTCAATCTTGGTTCGAGAAGAAGAAGGGAAATAAAGACCAGTCTATTTTATAAGTAAGGTACTGATAGGGTTAGAGACTAACTATAGCGGTATAAAAAACCTAGCTTATAACATTGTCACTTCGGCCAAAAAACTCAAGCCATATTTTTAAGCCTATACAATTCACGTATTGATCGACCAACCACTAAGAAAAGTTTTATAGAAACTTAAAATGTCAAAATTGTTAATTAAATGGGTGGTAGAGTTCAGCAAATTTGACCTAAACATATTACCTAGGTCGACCCTAAAATCACAGATATTGATAGATTTCATTGCAAAACCTCAAAAAAAAATCTGAGAAAAATAAAGAAACCTCAAATAAAGATGATTGAAAACTTTATGTTAATAGATTG